ATAAGATCTCATCACGTACTGACACATTGACTGAAAATTCGTAATAAATATACCATTGATGACCCAATCATCAATCGGTTTTTCGTTATCTGTTTTCCATATTATAAAGGTTTTAAAAATGATTTTTATAGTAAGCCTATTACTATATCCTAATTTAATAAAACAATTTTTATTTAAATATTTCTATTAACTCTTTTATAGATAAGCTTATGGTAATTATTAGTGATGGGCATTTTCGAATATTTTAAAATATCGAATAGTATTCGATAGTTTTAAATAACTATTATATGAAAGTTATTGGTTATTAAAATTTGGTTTTGATAATTTACCATCTTCACGTCCGAATCGGGATTGAAAATTCACTCAAAAAGGTAATTTTTTAGTTTTTGATTATTATTTTTAAAACTAACACACTTAGCGTAACAATGTATAGAATATAAATTATAGATTTTTATATTTTCTTCTAAAATGGTATTTACAAAAATTTTCTAAAATTATTTTTACTTGCTTAAAAAAATAAAATAAAAAAATTATATGCTAAATTTCATTTTTTGAATATAAATCATTCTTAATTTTCGAAATAATCATTTTACAACAAAATGTTTCGTGAAAAAAAATTATGTAACATTAAATTATCTAAAATATTGGTCTTATGTAAAATTATAGTCAGATTTATAGTTTTGCTGTTTTAATGAAACTAACGATCTAAATAGGATTGTTTAAAACTGTTTATTCAGGGTACTACGATTATAAATAGGATACAATTAATAATGAAAAAAATTAGTGATGGGCTTTTTTAAATATTTTAAACTATCGATTAACTATTCAAATTGTGTTTATACCGCCAAATATTTTATTTTTAGCATAAAATATCAAATATTTTCTAAACTATTCGAATGGAGCTACCGAATAGTTTCAAAAACTATTCGAATATATTTACTATTCGAATAGTTTTTGAATGATTATCGTATAGTGGACAACTATCGAATAGTTCGATAGTTACTAATCGATATTTCTCATCACTAGTAATTATTAACAATTTTAAATAGTTTTACAGTTTTAATATTATACAGACTCGGATTGGAGGTCATGATACTCAGGCCTCTAGAAATAGATACCTAGTCTTATATGCTTCTTAATAGGTATAATAACATTAAAAAATTCTAAGTTATATTTTTATTATAAATTTTAATGATTAACCTTGGAATTTTTAATTTTTTTATGATAAACATTTTTTTATAAAAAGATACAATTTTTATAAAAAAGCTAATCTTGAGCACAGTAAAATCTGTGGCCTAGTACCCTAAAAAGGTATTATCCGAATTTGATATTATAATCATGTAAATGTTTCACTATAGGACGTTTACTAACTTTTTGATTTGAAATGTTTTTTTATTTTTAATTTATCCCTCAATTTTTTTTTGTTTGGCTAATATAACATCTGACAAAGTTTATACGTTGTGTTTCATAAATATGTCTATATACTTAATTCATTCGTATAGAAATTTTATAGATTTTATTTTTAATGTTGCAAGTTTACCAAATAATGCTAGTGAACTACTCGGTAATAATCTAGTACACCAAATGCCAATTTAAGTAATGTTAAAAATGTGAAATTCTAATTAAATCCTATACACACTATCAAATAATTATTACTTTTGTAATGACGGAACTTCACATATAAATTAAATTCGCCAACATAAAAAATTATGTATAAATCTGTGCAATAATTCTATGACCCTCTATATGTTAATTTAATAATTAACATTACCTTAGATCTTCTTTTGGCAGTTATAATTCACTGATTGACAATTAATAATATTAATATTAAAATTTAATAATCACGTATTAAAAATTTAATTTGTCTATACAGAGTGTTCAGTAAGTAGGGAAACAGGTCAATTGTTACAAACAATGAGAACAATAGAAACCCGTTTCCTTACTTACTGAACATTCTATATATTAACTATTTGGCTTTTCAATCAGTGAATCATAATTAGGGGCATTAATTAAAATTATTTATTTAAACAGAGCTTAGTAATTAAGTTAAAGCCAATATACTGTTTGACATAATAATAGATCAATGTAACAATTGTATTAAGTCAAATAAAAATGTTCAGTGTTTTTCCTGTAAGACTCGATCATTAGCCTAAAAAATAAAAAGTATTTATAATAAATGTTAGTAAATATTTATATTATTTAAAAATTAATTTTGAAATAGGTACAAATAATAGATCATTTAATTGTGCACAGTTTACCTTATAAATAAATGAAATAATATTTTTCTAAATATAAGTATTTAACTTAGAATTGTTTTAACTCAGAAAAAAATGTTCTTACACTTTTGACCGTAAAAGTTTTAATTAAACTAACCAATTATTAAAACACGGTGAGTTTTACATACATGTATATAATATTCTAAAAAATTAAATTATAAATAATCAAGAACTTAGGATTTGTGTTTATAAATCAATGTTAGATTTTTCTTTTAAAATCATGATCCCAAGTGTAATTCAGTGTTTCTATTTAAGATTCATTTCATTTTTCAAACATCTAATATTTGATTTGTGATTTAACAACTAACAGAAGTTATACTTTTATTCAAACACGTCCATTGTTTTATATTGAATACTATGCTTTCATCTATAATATATGGGTAGGCAATTAGTATATATCGCGAGCCAAATGATTAAAAAAAAATTACGAGAACCACAAAAATTAAATTTGTAATAACTGTTTGGTTTATTTATAACACTTACGGTCAAAGGTGTAGGTACAATTTTTCTAAGTTAAATACCTATATTAAAAAAAATATTATTTGATTTATTATTTAGGGAAACTGTGTATAACTAAATGATATATTATTTGTGCCTACATAAAAATTAATTTTTAAACAATTTATTTAAATATTTACTTTTATCTATTATAAATACTTTTTATTTTTTAGGCTAATGATCGAGTCTTACAGGAAAAACACTGAACATTTTTATTTGACTTAATATAATTGTTACATTGATCTATTAGCTTCGATGCGAAGCTGAGAAGGTATTGGTTTTACTAAGATGTGTTTTTTTTTGTGTCTGTTACCACTTTTATTTTATTTTATCTTCACGGTGAAAATGGCTACCAAATGCTATTTTTGTGTGAAAATTTTCGATTTTGTATTTCACATTTTTAATTTTATTATGCTATTACTATTTGAAAAATGTATGGATCAATACAATTTTTTTATGAGAAGTAGTATTTATATACATCTTTCATTCGACATACTGTTTTTTTAAATCAGACCATTTCCCTATATTTGAGGGGGGTTTAAATCTAAAAAATGCATGTAGAAAATAGAACTTTTTCAACTAAACTTTTGAAAGTGTTCCGAAAAGTCTGACACTTTTATATATATCTTAAATTAAAGCTAATGTATTTTACTTTATTATGCAAAAAAAAAAATTTCGGACTTTATTTTATCTTCACGGTGAAAATGGCTACCGAATGCTATTTTTGTGTGAAAATTTTCGATTTTGTATTTCACATTTTTAATTTTATTATGCTATTACTATTTGAAAAATGTATGGATCAATACAATTTTTTTATGAGAAGTAGTATTTATATACATCTTTCATTCGACATACTGTTTTTTTAAATCAGACCATTTCCCTATATTTGAGGGGGGTTTAAATCTAAAAAATGCATGTAGAAAATAGAACTTTTTCAACTAAACTTTTGAAAGTGTTCCGAAAAGTCTGACACTTTTATATATATCTTAAATTAAAGCTAATGTATTTTACTTTATTATGCAAAAAAAAAAAAATTCGGACTTTATTTTATCTTCACGGTGAAAATGGCTACCAAATGTTATTATTGTGTGAAAATTCTCGATTTTATTTTTTACATTTTTAACTTTATAATGCTATGACATATTGAAAAGTGTATGGATCAACATTATTTTTTTATGAGAAATAATATTTTTTAATAATCCCTTTTTCATTCGACATACTTTATATTAATTAGGATATTAATAATGAAATAGCAGATCATGTAGCTTTTGGAATAATCCACCAATTTTTTAAAATTAAACACTATCTAAAGATTTGCATCGAAGCGTTTTTTTTAATAGTGATTTTAATCACTGTCAGATATCATTATCCTTGATCCAACTATGTCACGTCACCACTGTGCTGGGTTTTTTTATTTGAATTGTTGTCAATTTACACTTTTAATCCTCATGCTATTTAAACATACACAAGGTATGAATCACAACATAAGAAAAAGTATTTAATTCTTAATATAATTTCCATTATATCAACCTTCTCACCATTTATCATAAATTGTTTACTCGATGGAATTTTCGGAATGGAAAGGTTTAAAAACCCTTAACATCCCCATATCCAAACTTTGTATTGTAGATAACATATTTTACTTCATATGACAATTATATAAAAAGAAAATTTTATCCATGAGTAACAAATTGAATGCCTAAAATGTAAAAAATTCAAGGGAGACTTAAGTATAAGTGTTTTATCTTCAAATTTTAATCATCAATAATTATCACACTTTTATTAGTATAATTGACCCTCGTATGATTCCCAAATAAAATAATAATATATATGATGTATTCCTTTAAAATGCACAATTTTATCATAAATTAAAAAATGCAAAAGACAAATCATCAACGCTTATCTAATCTAGAAACTTTTTGAGAGAAGGCGTTTTTCAAGAAACGGAACCCAAAATTAGTTTGAGCAAAAAAAAAGGCGTACCTGACTATAATTTAAGATTTACTGTCATTTAGAGGAATCATAATTTCGGGGAGACCCAACTTCTCCCCAAAATGCGAATATTCAGAGACGTGTTAAGAGGCGAATAAACCAACTCTATCGTTAATTTTAAATACGCCCATAGGATTTTTAAGACCCAAAATTATTTTAACCTTTTTACATTTGTTAAGTTTTAATTTTTAAAAAAGAAATACAATACATATTTATGTGGCAGATGTCAAAACAAAAAATAGTCACTTAATGTTAAAATATATTTTAAGTAAAATAATTTTATCGATGTAATTATAAAAAATCTTAAAATTTTTAACATCCAACATTATTTTTATGTACGTTACAATATGACAGTTTATACATTAATACATTTATAACCAAATTGGGTTATTTATTATCGATTTTTACAATTATCACTTAATAATGTTTAACTAACTACTTTACCATCGAACTAAAATACTTTGAACTTATTTGTTAAATAACTTGTAGTACTTGATATGTATGAACTAGTTCCAGAACAGTTATACATTAAATTTACTTTTTGTATATCTGTTGAAGTTGCACCATTTCTTTGACCCAGTGCCATACTCTGATCATACTAAATGGAAAAAATTGTAATTAAGCAATATATTTGTTTTACAAAATCTTTAGTAATGTAAATATTTTAACATACAGAGTGATTGATTTTGTGTAAGACACTCGTTATCTTAGATAATATAAAAAATTATTAACTTTTGTAAAGAAAAGAATTATTTGGTTCAAAAAATTGCAATACAATTAGTTAAAAAATTATTTTTTATTCCATCAGGGATAAAAAAAACTAAATTTAGTTTTCTTAAATGGAACTCACTTATTGCATTTAATATAAAATTGAAAAGGTATAAATTCATTATGATGTTTTATATATTATATTATGATTAATAAATTTTTTTTTTTCGTATGTCTGTCACTACTTCAGTTCTCATTTTACTGATTGTTTTCAACAATACGTCAAAAGATCACAAAGTATATTTAGTTGAAATTAATACTTTTTTTTTAAAGAAAATTTTTAAAAATCTCCCGTAAGTGAGTAAATTGCTATAAATTTTTGAAAATTATGCGAATCAGTACAATTTTTTTTTTTAAGTATTATAAGTTAATATCCCTTTTAGTCTTCATAATTTTTCAAAAATAAGACCATTTCCCCTTATAAAAAAGGCGTTAAAATCTAAAAATATACCTATAAAGAGTAGAACTAGAAATCAAGGAATTCTTTCTATAAATTAAACACTATCTACAGATTTGTATCGAAATATTTTATACTTCGATGTTATAATAATTTTATAACATTGATTTAATTAACTGTCAAATATCACCTATATTTGCCGCAACAATGCTACTTCACTACTGTGGCACGAACCCTCCGTGCTAGTTTTTTTAAACTTGATAATATGATAAAGAAAAAATTAAAATTTTGTTCAAATTATTTGTATACATAATATGTAGTTTTTTGTACCAAATATTTTATCTCTTTACATAAAATTAAAAATTCTAAGAAAGTGAATGTCTCAAAATCGATAAATATAATATGTACTTTTGTCAATATAAATATTAAATCGAAAAGCAATAAGACCATTTTTTATGATTACTTAGTGAAATGCTGTTTATGCTTTCGAGAATTTTTAATTTTAATAAAATAATTTAATAAATAATCAAAAGGGGTTTCCATCAGAATAACATTTATGATAAAGTAAAATAGCTTACATTTCATTAAGTTTTAAGTATTTTAATGAAGTATAACTTCATTAAGCAAATATTATTTGAACTATTTTTATAAAAATAATATTATATTTAGATTTGAATTCGTAATTTAATACTTAATGTCATTTCAACTAATTTTAATTTTGATGAAGTGCCAAATTAATTATTAATTTGTGCTCAACTTCTAAAGTCGATTGCTCTGAACAATTAAAATAAAATGTAACAAAATAATATTATAAAAAAATGTTAAATTTTACATATTAGTGAAAAATTAACCACGATTTATCTTTAACCCATAGGCATAAATTTATGAAAAATTTGGTGAAACTAAACTAAATGAGGGGAAGCCTCACGCTAAATTTTTTTAAAATAAAAAAAAATATATAATTTTTTTTTAATTTTGGAGGATAAGCTAAGTACTTTTAAGTCCCTCCGATTTAAGCCAATGAGTTGACCATTAAATTTCTCCAAAAATAATAATATTTCATAGAATTATTTTTTCAGTTTTATATAGTATTATTTGTTTATTGATTTATCTGTAAATAATCCCTTTTATATTCATCATTTATCATTTATAAGGATACCAGCTCCATTTTTAAAAGATCCGTACATATTTTATTAACTTATATAATAGATAATAATGCAACTAAGGAAATATTTGGGATAAAAAATGTTGAAAAAGTATTTTGGATTTTATAAACACTTTAAACACTAGCTGAGGTGAAATGCGGATTTTATTATTTTTATCATTATGCATTTTTTGCTATCACACTACTTTTTTCATTCAATATTAAAATATTTAAGTTCTAAAATACTGATCCAAAAGTTGTTATTAACTAGTTATTAAGCCATCTTCTAACTTTTAATTAAAATTTTGGGTACATATTTAACTATCTTAAGATAATAAATTTGTATATTACTATTTATAAAAATCATGTTGATTGCCTTATAAGAAATAAGAGAGACAATAAAATATATTTAACCAGAAATAATCTTTACTCAACCAAACCGAATTTTTTTTCTAAATTATTATTATTATTATAAATCTACGTATTAATGAAAACACTTACTAAAAATAATTCATGATTGTATATATATACAGAATAATTCTTTTATCACAAAACACTTAATGAATCAAATAGTAGAAATAATATTGATAATTTTTTATTGGTTTATTTTAGCTCAATATTTTTTTTCAATATATCCATTATGAATTACTTATTATGCTCATCTCTCATGCGTTATAAGGGACCAACTTTATGTTTTTTTAATACAACATACATATTTTATTTCCTTATATAGAGTGTACAGTAAGTAAGGAAACGGGTTTCTATTGTTCTCATTGTTTGAACAATTTTACCTGTTTCCTTACTTACTAAACATTCTGTATTATTATACAAAATGACCCCTAGTTGGGTTATTATCAATAGATAATGACCCAACTAAGAAATGAATGGCCGATAAAAACTCTTGAACCAGTATTTTAGAAGTTATTAATAACTTAAAGTAATGACTGGTGGTGAAGAATACGTATTGAAATTTTAATAACTACACAATTATCAAGAGTACTCTTCTTTCCGTCGAGGTATTAATATGTCAATAATTTATAAGATACTGGTCCAATAGTTGTTATCGGTCAATAACTTTTTTAATTAAATCATGGTATATTAAATTAGCTAGTTAATTCTGCATATTACCATTAAAAAAATTTAAGTTGACACCCTTATAACGTATAAAAGATGAATAAAAATAATTCATGATTGATAAATTAAGAAAAGCATTGAACTAAAAAAAAGCAATAAAACATTATTAATATAATTTTTCTTATTCGATTAATTAAGTGGTTCATCATAAATGAATCATTGTATATATATTTATATAACAAAAGTACCCTTTACTTGTAGCAAAAAGCACTTAAAATGTCAACATTGGTTTACTTTTTTTAAGAATAAAATATTGTATTGGCACTCATGCAATATTTTTTTTGTTTCGAAAATAAAATATTTTCTAATCCAATTACATAAAAAATTTCTACAAAAAAATGTAGTAGTCAAATTAAGAGAAAGCGGATAAATTGTTTAATATATCTTTAATTTATCCACATGTTTAACCAAAACAATTTATTTTATTAAGTAAATTAGAAGTTAAAAATATCAGAATATTAGTGATCATGTACAATGTTTATTTTAAATACAATCAAAATGAAATATTTAGTTGACTTAAATACATGTCAAAACAATTTAGATTTTAGAATTTATTAAGATTATTTTGCTTACTTTAGCTACGATGGTTTCCAAACCATTTTTTGAAAATGCATATCGCGGATAATGCATCACACTAGTGTAATCGTATGGTAATCCAAATGTAGTAGTAACATTTTCTGGAACTTTACCAAAATCTTGCCAATACACTGAAACAAAATTAAAATGCACTATTTTAAATTAAAAATATATTTTTAGTTTTAAATAATATTAGCCTCAATATTCTGGTCAACCCAAAGTATATGGAATTAAGTAGAGGAAAAAAAAGAAGAAATGATATTAGCCTCAAATGATCAATTTCTATTGTATAAAATTTACTTCAAGCACAACTAGAATACAAATTTTAAGGAGGTTGAAAGTATTTTCCTTTTATATATAGGGTAATTCACTAAGGATATGACACTTATTTTGTCAAAAAATATTGAAAAAATAAAAAAACATAACATTATTTTTTTCAAATGAGAGTCCCTATTTTTACATTAATACAAACAATTTTGTTCTTATAATTTTTATTACCCATTCAGCTATTTCTACGTGTTTAAGTTAAGTGTTTTTAAATCAAATTTCTAATGCTATTCTACAGTTTTGTAGAAAGATGCCATTAATGAATATTAATAGTTGCATAGTATTATTTTCCATAAAAGTTTATTTTTTTACATTCTTGAACGACCCATGTAGAAAACATTTTTGATAACTACGATACAAATAATTTATGGTCGTTTGAAACTGATTAATGTTGCCACTGGTATTACGAAAACCAAATTAGTGATGAAATTCTATTTTAAACCCCAATCTTTAAATAATTTAAAAAAACAAACTTATAATTGGATAAAAATAATTATATGAATAAAATCTTCTTTTAATTTTGTCTATCATAATACTAAAATAAAAATAGGGGTTTTCATTAAAAAAAATTAATGTTATAATTTTTTATTCCTTGAGGGATGAAAAAAAAATTATTAAATACATATTATTGTAGAATTTCTTCAATCAAATAATATTTTATTTACAAAAATTTTAAAGTTCAATTAATTCCCAAAAAATGAGTATCTTATACTGCATTAAGTAATAAAAATTTATTTTAAAAAATTGGAAGAAGAAGTTTCCCTAGACTTCTCTAGTTAAGCCTATGACTGTCAAATGTTTCAACGAATCAAAGATAAACATTTTCTTTTTAAAAGCATGAAAAAATATTTGTTGAATATGGTGAGTCTTGAAGTAAACTAAAAATTAAAATCAACTAAATAAAATCAATTGTTTAAATAAAAAATATGATACAGTTAAACATTCTAGTTCTTCTGTGTTAAAACTAATTTTAAAATAAAATAAAAGTGCAATGATAAATGTTCTTCTTTTATATGAAAAAAAACAGAAATTTACTATCTTAAATATTAAACACAAAAAAAAAAAAAAATTCAAACTTCTTTAGTTGTTTCAATTTTAACCTAGTACACTTTGATATTTAGAGTTAAATTTACTGAAGAAATACTTTCAATTTGTTCTGATTACAATGACGTATGTCGTTATTAAAGATTTCACTCAAATTAAACTATGTCAGTTATTAACACGTGTTAATGTTAAGAATGAATTTCTTGCGTATATTACAATTGTTCATTGAATTGCTGAACAATTTTCAACACTGCTGAAGAAATGATAATATAGGAAACCCATAATTATACTACTTAATTAGCCGCTCAACTTAAATTATTTAAGAAAAGGTAAATTTAAAATATGTTTTTTTGGTAATATTGTTAAAAGTCTTTTTTTGCTTGTTCAGATATAATTGACGTATACGGAAAGCATTTATCTTGTTTGTCATCATTTTAAACACAGACTAATAGTAAATTAAAACAAAAATCAAGTAAATTCAATAACAAAAATAACAATTACAATATAATATTAAGATATAAGAGAATAATGTTTTACTAAATTTTTTTAGCTTCGATGCGAAGATGAGAAGGTATTAATTTTACCATGATGTGTTTTTTTTTGTGTGTGTCTGTTGCTACTTTTTCTCAGCTGTCAGTGGACTGATTTTGATGAACAATATGTAAAAGTTCACAAATTGTATCTAGTTGAAGATATTACCCTCGAAAATTGAAAAAAATTACCTCATACCCCGTAAATGGAGGAAATCCCCGAAAAAATTACAATTTTAAAAATCGGTCATTTTCGACATTTTCGACATTTTTTCAATTTTCTTTTCTTAAAACTGCCATAATTTTTTCAAAAATTAACAAATCAACATAATTTGTTTTATATTGAAACCTTAGATATTTCCCTTTCATTTGATATCATTTTTTTGAAGATCTAACTCTTAGCCTGCTCACAAAAGGCAATTTAAAATAGCAACTTTTTTACAAAAACTAACTTTTTCAACATAACTTTTGAAAATATTCTGGAAATACTGCATCCTTTAAACATATATCAAATTAAAGCTTATGTTATGTACTATAAAATGAAAAAAAAAAATTTGTCCCGAAACCTTATGTTCTACGTGCAATCGGCTGCCATAGTTAAAAATGCTATTTTTGTGTTGAAATTTTCGATTTTAAATTGCTATAACTTTTAGAATAATGTATGTATCAACATAAATTTCTTTTTTTTCTAAATACATTATATATATTTTTTTCATTTGACATACTATTTTTTTTAATTGAACCATTTCCTTTATACAGGAGGGATTTAAAACTTAAAACATACGTATAAAAAGTAGAATTTTTTCAACATAACTTTTGAAAATGTTCTAGAAATACTACATATTTTAAACATGTATCAAATTAAAGCTTACAATAAATACTACAGGTTCAAAAAAAAAAATTTGTCCCATCACCAATTCTTCTATGGGAAAATGGCCGTTGAATTTAACAACAATGTAATTTTTATGTAAAAATCATAAAATATTCTAATACTGAAAACTGCCATAACTTTTTGAAAAATTAACAAATTATAATAATTTTTTTTTTATATGTTTTATATTTTTCCCTTTTATTTAAAATCATTTTTTTGAAAATCTGACTCTAAACCTGCCCACAGAGTGGATTCAAAAAAAGAATTTTTGCACACAAGTAAAGCTTTTTCAATTAAATTTTTGAAAATATTCCAGAATATTGACACTTTTACTTAATCTTAAATTAAAGCTTATATTATAAAAATAATTATTAAAAATAAAAAAAAATTCGCAATATAGATTTTCTTCTTAGTGTAAATGGCTACCGTATTCAAAAATATGATATTTTTGTGTTAAAATTCTAGGTTTTTTATTTTATTTTATTTTAAAATATTTTACAAGAGGAATATACTGACTTTCATGAAATTATAATTTAATTGACATAGATTAAAGTTCATAAGACATAAAAATTTTTAATTTTATATTGTTTTGCTTTTTAAAAGTCGAAAAAGTAACTTTAAATTAAAATTTGAATTAGCTTAAATTGCTAGTTTTATCAATAGTCTCCCTCGTGAGAAGAAATTTCCTATTCAGGTTAATATTTATTATTATGTGTTTTTTTTTTTTTTGTAGCTGCGATTTATTTTTCCAACCCTCAATTAACCTACTTTTTTCAACGATACGTCGAATGATTAAAATTCGTTTTTAGTTGTATTACCCTCAAAAATTAAAAAAAATCCCTTGATCAAATAAAAAGTAGATTAACTAGCTTTATCCATATAAACTATAACAATTATTCATTTCTAATAATTTTAAAGTAATTATTAACGAATTAGATTTGATATGATAAAAGAATTCAACTACAAAAGTAAATAATTTTACTTTGTAATCAATTAATTTTTTAATTATATTTGTGTGTGCAACTACTAGACTATCATATTCCAATTTTTTTTGTAATTTGTTGCTTTATAAATCATTAATCTAAAAAAAATAAATTATATTTAGTTTCACCTGAATTTAACAATAGATTTTTACAATTATAATCAAATTTAAAAAAAAAAAAAACTTTTTTTTTATTGATTTTTTTAGTTAAAGTAAATCATTAAAATTAATTCATTTCTGCATATTTCAATTGTAGAATTTTTTTAAACACCAAAAGTAAATTATAAATGATTACTATGATTTATATTTAAGTGATCTTTTACGATAAAAAGGCAAAAAAAATAAATCTTTTCTGATAAATTTACTCTAAATAGTAATTATAAAATTTGCTGACTGCATATTAATCTTTGCAATTTCATTTGTTTCTATTTATTGGTGTAAATTTCTATATGTATATTTTAGATTTGAACCCCCCTGTATTAAGGGAAATAGTCTGATTTAAAAAAAAAGTATGTCCAATGAAAGATTAATATAAATACAACTTCTCATGAAAAAATTGTATTGATCCATACACTTTTCAAAAAATTATAGCATAATGAAGTAAAAAATGTAAAATCAAAAATCAAAAATTTTCACAAAAAAATAGCAATCGGTAGCCATTTTTTTTTAATATTAAAGTATATTTCATAAGCTTTAATTTAATATATATATATAAGTGTCAGTATTTCCGGAACACTTTCAAAAATTATGTTGAAAAAATTATCATTTTAAATCCCCCTTTTGGGCAGGTAAAGGATCAAATTTATAAAAAAAATATACCAAATGTTAGGTAAAAATATCAAACATCTATAAAAAAAAATTATATTGATTTATTCATTTTTAGGAAAGTTATGGCAGTCTTAAGAAAAAAAATTGAAAAAATAGCGATTTTTAAATTTGTAATATTTGTGGATGTTTCCTCCAATTACAGGGAAAATTTTTCAATTTTTGAGAGTAATGTCTTCGACCAGATACGATTTGTGATCTTTTGACGTATCGTTGAAAGAAATCGGTCCAGTGAGAGCTGAGAAAAAAAGGTAACAGACACAAAAAAAAACACAATATAGTAAAACCAACACCTTCTCAGCTTCGCATCGAAGCTAAAAATCGGTTACCNAAAAAAAAAAAAAAAAAAAAAAAACACATCATAGTAAAACCAATAACTTCTCACCTTCGCATCATAGCTAAAAATAAACTTATAATATATAATTAAAAATTAATATATAATATGATATATGTAATAAAAAATTATATTTTTGAATCTATGAATTACTAATCTGGATATAATTAAGGAAATTGAAGATGATGTTGCTTTTGTAATTGTCCACCAATTACATAAAATTAAATACTATCTACAGATTTGCATCGAAGCGTTTTTTATGATAGTGATTTTAATCACTGTCAGATTAAATCTATACTGAACCCAACTATGCTGCGTCCCAACTGTGCTGGGGTTTTTTTAATGCCCTTTGAGATGGCCCTGTTAAGTTATTAACTGAAATATGAAAATAGATTTTTTTGCTTCATATAAAGCTGTAATTAGAATTCATATATTAATTTAAACACGTAACATAAATTCAGTGGGCCTTTATTTTTAAAAAACTCTTTCCTGATAGACGTAGCTTGTTAATGGAAACGGGAAATGAGGAATATACATTTTTTAAATTTTTCGAACAATAAATTTTTATAAGAAATATTTCATGATGAGCCTTCGGAAATTATAGGTCTGAAACTCATTGCCCACCATGTTAGTCATTGGTAAGGTACTGTTTCTGTACCAACTAAATTATAATTTAATGCTATATGTTATGTTATTAAGTTTATTTAATACTGCGAAAAACTGATACATAATAATAATATTGTTTTTAAAAATTTTTAATTCCAACGTTTAAACTATTATAATTAACACACATAGTAATTATGAAACCAATTACTAATACCATAAGAATAACATCTATGTTACTATAAACATGACTTAAAGTGGTTAGTAGTTTATTTTATTTACATTTATAACATAAAAAAAGCAACTAAATGATACTGTAATATGCAATTTAATGATGAATAAATAATATTAACAATAACTTATTACACAACGCTCTAGAGAGTTTTGTCATTTTCATTGAATATAATATGTAAATAATCATAGACGATTTTATATTTTTGCAAACGGCCTTAATAACATTGGGATAGGAGTAAAAAATACATTTACGACGCAAATATAAACATGCATAAATGCGCATGCATTTTGTAGTGCTTATACATATCGTAGTCTGCCACAATTTATGCAAATGAACTTACTAGTCTGGAGTATATTTAATTATGCTTCTTTCTACCTTTTGAAAATGTCATCCATTAATGTGTTAATTTTATTCAAAAATAAGCTAATGTTTTATTAAAATAAATTTTAGTTCCCTTTAAATGAAGAGATTATAACAAAGTAAAGTTAACTTTTTAAATTTTAAAAATATTTAATTTTTTTAAGAGCCAAAGAAATTGTATTTTTCCAAAATCAATTATAAACCTAAGTAAATTTAAGCCAAATGAAACTCAGCATATTTCAATAATAAAAGCAAATAAAACATGACAAACTATATTTTTATTTACAATTAAGTACTTTGAAAAATTTGTTTAATTTACAGGGGCCTCGAAAATCATAGCCATTAGTTTTTAAATTAAAATAAATGTCTTCTGAATAAAATTATTTTACTAGGAAAAAAACAGTATACTACATGATATGTTGTATAAATAATTACTATAAATTATACAAACCAAACCTTCTCATTGTTTCTTCAATATTTTGATTTAACATAATTAATAATTCCTAGTAATTTACTATGAAGATATGAGTATTATGAAATAGTATAAAACGTTTCTTAATAAATGAATATAGTATAAATTTTATCACTCAAACTGTTAAAAATTGAAGTTATATTGACTAATATATTACAAATATGTTTTGTACATTTTTTTGGCTTCGATCCAAAACTAAGAAAATGTATTCTTTTTTTTATGTCTGTCCATGAAAATTTTTACTTCGGAACCGATTTTATTAGTTTATGCATTAAAAGAACCCGAATTTAATCTAGTCAAACCTATTATCACCGAAAACTTAAAAATTTTTTTTTTTAATTACAACAAAAATTAGCATTAAAAAAAAATGTTTGTATTTTAAAAATACTTTAACAATTTTTTTAGACACCGACTGAAATTAGTTTTCAATAAGATATACTAAATACAAGAGCGTTCTTTTAGTATGTTTTTGTGAAAATTCAATAAAAAATCTAATAATAATCAAGGCACACATAGTACTATTCTTCTTCCTCTTTTTCGTCGCCTTTACCCCAACAACTTTGAGTTGACCACCCTTATCCTAAACTTTCACTTGACACGATCTCACACAACAGCCGTCCTCATATAACATTCTATAATATCCTTCCATATCTATTTTGGTCTTCCTCTATCACTTCATCATTTATTTACATAACTGTTCTTGCAGCTTCCAATTATTCTCTCCTCATAAATTAACCAAACTATCTAAGTCTATTTTCTCTCATCATATCCACAATTAATACTCCCTCTTATATGTTCGTTCTTTATCCTATCTTCTCTTTTCACTCCAATCATCCATCTAAGCATTCTCTCACTGAACTCATTCTCTGCTTTATTCTCTTATCAACTACCCAACACTCTGAACCAAACATCATAGCTGGTCTCATTACAGTCTTACAAAACTTACCTTTCAGCCTCGTTGGAATTCTCTTATCGCATAACATAGCAAACACTTCTCTCCACTTCATCCATTTGCACTTAATCCTGTGTCTTACATCCCCGCCAATACCATCGTTCTTTTGCACAACTGATCTTAAATACTTAAAACTTTCTACCTCTCCTATCATGTTCTCGCATATTATCACTGATCTCCTCATTTCATCTACTTCGTGTTCTTTTTTGTCAAAGTCGTATTCTATATACTCTGTATAATTCCTACTTATTCTTAATCCCTTCCCTTCAAGTGCTGATCACCACACCTCTAGCCTTTGATTAATTTCTTCCCTTTTTTCTCATATAAACCCTACATCGTCAGCAAACAATATGCACCACGATACCTTTTGTGAATTCATCAGTCATTATAGAAAATACGTCAGAGCTTAAAACAGAACCTTGGTGCACTCCTACTCTTCATTAAAATCTTCTGTTACTTCGCTCACACTTTCAATCCGGGAACAAGTGCCATTGTACATATATTATATTATATTAATGTACCATTTTGACAGTTAAATTCTATTGTATTCCTCCCCTCCACCATTATGAATTTATAAATACATACTTGTGTAAAATTTCATCAGAATTGTTACTAGTATAAGTGATTTAATTTAATTCAAATAAATTTCATACTTAAGATATAAATAAAAAGGTAACTTCCATTATAATTAAGTGACCTTTTTATCATAAAATTGAATTATCTTTACAAATTTTCCAAGAAAAAAATTTTTCGGCTTACAATATTTGCCACTGTAGGCAGTAGCCTATAGTGCCTGCATATAAATATGCCATGATTAACAAGGCATATAATTAATAAAACAAAAGTTGTCTTAAGATAAAGATTCTCGATTAAACAATTTCGAAGTGAAATTTTTATTTTGCTAATAAAGCACAATGAATTGGAGGAATAGCTGCTAACCTTATCTCTCTTCATAGACGTTTGAGATAATAGTTTTATTTTTGTATTATCTATCTATGCTAACGAATGATAAGAATGTTGACTAGTTAGTTAGCGTCCGGTGTATTATTCAAGTTAATTAATATGGGTAAACTAGTGTAACGTTTTAAGGATGAATTGATCTAATAATAGAATTTTAGTAATAAAATTAATTAATTTCGGAAATTTTGGGCTTGATACATATAATTTCAAAATGGAATAACTATAATAAATTTAAAAATTAAAAATTGCCATAATTTGAATATCGGACTATTTTTAAAATGTTTAAAACCACCAATTCAGGGGTCATTTTGGTGGATGTAAAGTAGCAACTATTCACCCCTATTTTTAGTCTAAAATTGAGTTCTACGCCAGTAATTTTAAAGAATCCTTCTTCAAAATATAAAGTACTTAGCAGAAAAAAACAAATTTCATAATAGCTCCTTTGTAATAAAATGATTTTTTTATATCATTAGTATCCTGCTACAGAGTATCCTACTTAAAAACTCGTCTATCTTTAAATATGTTTAATCAAACTTCATACGCTACTAAAACAAAAATTTTTGTAATTAAAAAAAAAAAATTCAAACTTAAAACATTGTATGTTGATAAATAATACATTACTACAATTATATAGAAGAAAAAAATATAGTAATTATTAAATACTAACTAAATTAAATTGAAAAATACTTAACTTGTGATGTATAAGTAGATGAACAAGTATGAAAATTCCAAAAAAAAAAAAGTTTACAAAAAAAATTGTTGAAATTTTGAGACCTTTACGGACTTAATATTTTAAACCGTACCTTACCTTTGTTCATTAATTTTATAGCTACATAAATAAAGAAATTAATTTTTAAAACTTATAAAAAAAAGTATTACCTTTATCAATATTTTCCCAATAAATAATAACAGCATTATCTCGATCATACCGTGCCTGTTCGTGAAGTAATCCAACCACGTGCAACAGCTCATGCTGTATAGTGCCTTGACTAGTTAGGCAAGCAGGCGATTCCAAATTCATCTTATGAGGCATTCCGTAGTTTTCATGGTAACCTATCATCGCATAACAACCTTTACTTTTTTCCGATTGAATAGACAAATATTCGTTGTGCCCAATATTTATTTTATTCGTAGATTTATTATCATTTTTGTCAGTAAACTTTAAACATGTTTTTGATTCTAAAAAGTCCATAGCATTTCTAATCTTTAACCGGTCTTCCGGCACTAACACAAGTACATAGTAATTATTAAATTTTCTATTATAAAAATAAGTATTTATTAAATAATTCAAAAACTCGCGTTGTGCATTTTAAAGTGCTAGACACCTAACATATATAAGCCATTACTTTTTTCGTTTACTTACTAATATTAGGACTTAAAATGTAGGGTATTATTCCTTTTGGCCATTTATAATATTCTGATATTATAGCATTTCTAGTAACTGGCAATAATATATCACCTTGGTATAACTCTGATTTCAACTCTGGATAAGTATCTAATGAAATAAGAAAATTCACAAGTAGATTCATATTCTAGAGCACTTGAAATGATCTTAATAAAAACATTTAAGTTGAGAAGACAAAACATACAAAACATACAAATCACTAAAACTTAATATCAACATAAATATAAAAAAACTAAAGTATTTTGTTATTTAGATCTTAACTACTTTTAATATGTATTGATAGTACCAACACATAAAATTTGTAGAAGTACCAAAATTGATACATTTAACATGACAATAAACTAAAAGTTATACTCATTTTACACAAATATTGTTTAACCTTAAAATATAAATAGTAAAAATCAAATACTAATTTGCATATACTGTCATTGATGGAAAATAAAAAAAACTATATCATTTATTTTAATTTAAATAACTAAGTTAAATTAGTTGTATATATTTATATGATTAACATGTTTGCCAAATTTTAATCTTCACGGACGTCTTTGTATAATTTTTTCAATTCCTTTATTAACTATGGATGTAATAACTAAGCTCAGGGACAGATTTAAGAGTCAATGTCCCAGGAACCTACACATAATTTGATGATTTTTTTTTGCTCATAATACAAACAAATTGTCACTAAAATCATAGTAACAAAAATATTTTAAGCTTTTGTGATATGGGTCCCAACATTCCTAAATCCAGCCATGACTAAGCTATCAGTTAAATAGAAATATAATTTATTATGTACCTGGTGATAAATGACTTGGTTTTAAATTTTCTTTTATTTTCTCGTAATATAATCCCAGTGTCTTGCCGTCTATTTGAGCTTCACAACAACTCAACAGCTTTGTAATCATGTAAGCAAGCAATACAAGTCCAATCATTTTGTAAAACAGATTGAAAAATTAACATCAAGACAGTTGCTTCTAAAAGAAAACGTGACTGGAGTACATAACATAAAAGGTGTGCTCATATTAGATTAAAACAATTATCTTTTCAATTTGACCACTGGCCTATTTCGGATTTCCATTTAATTATGCTAAAATTGTATTAAATCCACTGATATGACCAAATTCAATGATTCCATTTATAATGTCATTATTCATTTATTTTTAAAAGTATGTATTCATTGCTTAACCCTTGTGGAATAAATTACAAGTACGACAATAAGCGGAACGTGACGCAAAATAAGGTATTATTTACAACTTCAAAAATTGTATATCGATAAAAATTAACACTTTTAGTAGGTGGTGGTAATGATACGCTATGAACCCTAATGTTTGTTTTCTAAAAAACTTTTCCCACGGTAGCGTCAATAACCGAATTGTTTATTACGTTGTATCAAATTTATACATTTATTACTTTATAAACGGTTTACAGTTAAAACATAGAATAATGTAGAATTAAAAAATATATAGACAAATATATAGATTTATAAATTCCTCCGCAATAAACAGAATGTTTTTCCTCTATTTAAATATATTGAACATTTTATAATTGCTATCTTTGATTAGGAGTTAACAAAACATTTTTTTTGGTACAGCATGCTTAGTTTTTTTCTTGTGAAAATCTCCTATTCATCGACTACCCAACTATTCAGTATTCTAAATGATTTCTAACATTAGTGATTAAAGACATGGATTAATTTATTAAGTAGTATTTAATACAAATTATAGTATTGCTCTGGTTAGAATACAGAGTATTTGTTTAAAAGTTCGAACTTACTAACGAAGAATGAAATAAAAATGTTGCATCTAAAAAAAGTTCAAATCAATGTTTTTTGGGGACTAATAAAATATTATAATTGTTCGGTTTGATTATAAAATTGAAAGTTCGTTGTGGTCTCAAAAAGAAAGTTCGTAAAATCACTACTTATAATAATACATATATGAAATAATACTTTTGATTTACAACATACTAAAAAAAAATTTTTTGTAACTACATATAACATGGGTACATAATTTATTTCCATTAAAAATATTAAATTATAACGAATGCCAAAATTTTTTATATAGGTATCATTTTATTATTAAAATTAAACATGAAAGCTGTAATATTTAGATTCAAATATAAAAATATAATTAATCTTGAAGTAATATCCATTATAATAACTCACTAGAATTCTTATAATCAGAGCCATCCCGGGAGGTGTAGAGGTTCGCTTATTCTTCTACTAATCATATTTAATAGTTTCAGTGACATATGTTCTATATATAAGACTGCTAAAAAATAGTTATACAATTTAAAAAAATTACTTAATTGGCAATAATACTTTTTTCATCCGTTCATATTTTTTGATTCTCACACAAAAAGCAACTTAACAGGAGAACAAAAATTCTAATTTCTGAGCTGCTGTTAAAGCATTCCTAGATAGATTTATGTTTGGAGAATGCTATACATAAAACATTTTTGACTACTCCCTCTAAGCAAAAAAAATTGTAACTTGACCAAGAAATTAATTTTATTCAGAAAATTCTATCCTCCTCGGCGCATTTTATATTTTTAAATCTACAACTCAAGAAGGACTGTCCCACGTTCCTCCTAATTACGCCATTATGCACCGTTAAACAACTTTAAAAGTGTAAATTGACAACAATTCAAATGAAAAAACTCAGCACAATGATGACGTGGCATAGTTGGATCAAGTATAATGATATCTGACAGTGATTAAAATCACTATCAAAAAAACACTTCGATGCAAATCTTTAGATAGTATTTAATTTTAAAAAAGTTTGAAGTATTAAGGATCAGTTGTGTAAAAGAACGGCGGTTTTGACGAGGATGTAAGACACAGTATTAAGTGAGGGGTGTTCTAGTGGAGAGAAGCTTTGATATGTTATGTGATAAGAGAATTCTAATGAGGCAGAAAGATAAGTTCTATAAGACTGTAGTGAAACCAGCTATGATGTATGGGTTAAAGTGTTGGGCGGTTGACAAGATAGTAAATAAGAGAATGAGTGTAATAGAAATTAAAATGCTTAGGTGGATGAGTGGAGTGACTAGAGAAGATACGATAAGGATTGAACATATAAGAGGAAGTTTAGGTGTAGCATCAACCGAGGATAAGATGACAGAAAATAGACTTAGATGGTTTGGTCGTGTTATGAGAAGAGAGGAATCAGAAGCTGCAAGAACAGTTATAGAAATGAATGTCGAAGAATGAAGAGGTAGAGGAATAAATAAAAGGTAAAATAAAAAACCCGGCACAGTGGTGACGTGGCATAGTTGGATCAAGTATAATGATATCTGACAGTGATTAAAATCACTATCAAAAAAAAACGCTTCGATGCAAATCTTTAGATACTGTTTAATTTTAAAAAATTGGTGGATTATTCCAAAAGCTTCATAAACTGCTAGTTCCTTATTAATATCCTGATTAAGATAAAGTATGTCGAATGAAAAAGGGATTATTAAAAAATACTACTTCTCATAAAAAAATTGTAATGATCCATACATTTTTCAAAAAGTTATAGCATAATAAAGTTAAAAATGTAAAATACAAAATCGAAAATTTTCACACAAAAATAGCATTCGGTAGCCATTTTCACCATGAAGATAAGATAAAGTCCGAAATTTTTTTTTTTCATGATAAAGCATATTACATTAGCTTTAATTTAAGATATATATAAAAGTGTCAGACCTTCCGGAACACTTTCAAAATTTAAGTTGAAAAAGTTAATTTTTTGTGAAAAAGTTGTCATTTTGAATCCCCCCCTGTGGGCAGGTTAAGGGTTAAATTTATGAAAAAAATATACCAAATGAAAGGTAATGATATTATGCATCTATATAAAAAAGAATTATAAAAATATGTTTATTTTTGAAAAAGTTATGGCACTTTTAAGTAAAAAAAATTGAAAAAATTTCGAAAATTAGCGATTTTTAAATTTGTAATTTTTTTGGAGGTTTCCCCCTTTTACGGGGAACGAGGGAATTTTTTTCAATTTTTAAGGGTAATGTCTTCGACTAGATACGATTTGTGATCTTTTGACGTATCATTGAAAGAAATCGGTTCGGTGAGAGCTGAGAAAAAGTGGTAACAGACACAAAAAAAAAAAAAAAACACATCTTAGTAAAACCAATACCTTCTCAGCTTCGCATCGAAGCTAAAATTGGTGGATTATTCCAAAAGCTACATGTTCTGCTATTTTCTTATTAATATCCTGATTAAGATACAAGTCTTTATCTATCATTTGGCTTTTTTTTATAAATCTAACCCTTTACCTGCCCACAAGAGGGATTCAAAATAATAATTTTTTTCTTGTAGTTAAAGTAAATCATTAAAATTAATTTAGTTCTGGATATTTCAATTGTAAAATCTTTTTAAATACCAAAAATTACTTAGAAATGATTACTATGATTTCTATTTTAGTGTTCTATTACGATAACAATGCAAAAAAATAANCTATGATTTCTATTTAAGTGTTCTATTACGATAAAAATGCAAAAAATAATGAGTTTTTCTGATAAATTTACAATAAATAATAATTATAAAACTTTCTGACTGCATATTAATCTTAAAAATAACATTGTTTTAATTCTCATAAAATTTTCTATTTAATGATTCATTCTAGTCAACGAAGGAGTAATTTTGGCGAATAGCAAAAAAAATTCCCAACCAAATTTTTTTTTTTTTTTAAAGTAGGAAATTGCTGGATTATTTCAAAAGTAACATTAACTCTTATTTCTTTAATTATATCCTGATTAGTAGTTCTTTGATTTTAAAATATAATATATGAATAAATACTAATTATAGTTTTTAAATTTAGTATGAAATTGATATTCAATAATTTAATATTGTAATTTAAACGGAGAAATTATAAAAATAATAAAGAAGTTATATTTTGCTTTACTTTTACGTGTATAAAAATTTAAAGGGCTTGATACAATAATTTTCAATAAAAACTGTTTGTTACTATAAAAAAAATGCACTTGACTACTTGACACGATCTCCCACATCTTCTACGCTCACATCAGCTGTCCTCATGTTGCATTCAATAACATCCCTCAATCTCCTTTTTTGTCTTCCTCTACCTCTTCTTGCTTCAAAACTCATTTCTATAACTGTTCTTACAGCTTCCCATTCTTCTCTCCTCATAACATGACTAAACAATCTAAGTCTATTTTCTGTCATCTTATCCACGATTGACGCAAAACCTATACTTCCTCTTATATGCTCGTTCCTTACCCTATCTTCTCTAGCCACTCCACTTATCCAACTAAGCATTCTCATCTCTGCTACACTTATTCTCTGCTCTACTTCTTATCAACCGCTCGACACTATGAACCACACATCATAACTGGCCTCACAATTTCATACTAAATTTAAAAACTATAATTAGTATTTATTCATATATTATATTTTAAAATCAAAGAACTACTAATCAGGATATAATTAAAGAAATAAGAGTTGATGTTGCTTTTGGAATAATCCACCAATTTCTCTAAATGAAACACTATCTACAGATTTGCATCGAAGCGTTTCTTATGATAGTGATTTTAATCACTGTCAAATATCATCTATACTTGTCCCATCTATGCCTCGTCCACACTGTGCTACCGTTTTTTTTTGTTGTTGTTGTGTGCGCTGCAACATTGTAATTTACATATATTCGTGAGTGTCCGCTACTATAATTTCAAAATGTGATTTTTTTTATTGGCGACGGTTGAGCCTGCCTCATATTCTTTAGGCCTTCGGGGCTGGTAATCTATAATTTATTATTTATGTTTTAAGCCAGAATTTTTTTTTTCTATTAGTGCGCCGTGCCATAAGCACGTGTGGGGAATTTTTTTTATTAAATTTTTTTTCTAATATGACACCATATGGGAATACATATTATGTATTCCACAGCTGCTCCAGGTTCCAACAATTAAATAGATCTCTATAAAAAATTCCACTACACTTTTTAGTCTATTTTACAGATTATTTTAAATGAAATGGCGCAACTAACTCATTTTAGGCGTTGTTGCTTCTTTAGAATCACTATAATATTGTCATTCTAACCATAATGAAAAATATTTATCATTTCAAAAGTGATAACGAAACAATATGATATCAAGCAAAAATTTTCCCGCTTAAAGTTCTATATATATTTAGTATTTAACAACATACATAAATATATTAGTAAATATGATAGATCTACTATGCTTAGAAATATTTGCTAATCATAAAAAAGTATAGAAAAGGATCACTTTTGTAAACTAAACAAAAAAAATAACTCTAGTTTAATTGTTTTATTCTATTAAAGTTAAAGGAATATATTGTTATTCGTTTAGTAATTCAAATCATGGATGATATGGACGTGGACAATTCATCACAAAAAGTTAATTCTAATGTTGATGTCATTGATCCTATGGAAGGCTCATCAAATACAAATGGAATGTCAGTTCATGATATATCACTAACTAGTACAATAAAAAGTGATTTGAATACTCCATGGTAATTATGTAAAGTTAATGTATAAGATAAATAAATAATTATTAGATTTCCATTAGGATTGAAAAGTATCGACCTAAAACATTCATGGACATAGTGGGAAATGAAGAAACTGTGTTGCGTTTAGAGAAGTTTTCAACTTGTGGAAATGTTCCAAACATCATCATTGCTGTATGTTTTTCCAAAAGTTTAGCCCTCATCAAACATTTTATTTAACTATCAAATTACTTATTTTTAGGGTCCTCCAGGTGTAGGTAAAACTACAACTATTCTAGCTTTAGCTAGAATACTATTAGGTAGTTCATTTAAAGAAGCTGTACTTGAATTAAATGCATCAAATGATCGTGGTATAGATACTGTAAGAAATAAAATTAAAATGTTTGCCCAGCAAAAAGTAACATTACCACCAGGAAGACACAAAATAATTATTTTAGATGAAGCTGATAGGTATATTTTTTTTATAGTTGATGCTAATTTAAAAAAATTTTCATCTCTATCTAAAATTTCTTTAATGCTTCATAACTATAAGAATCTTTTAATTTTAGTATGACTGATGGAGCTCAACAAGCTCTTAGACGTACAATGGAATTATGGAGTAATACAACAAGGTTTGCGCTTGCTTGCAACAACAGTGATAAAATAATTGAAGCTATTCAATCTCGTTGTGCTATGTTACGGTATGGAAAACTTTCTGACCAAGAAGTGATGACTCAATTAGTTAAAATTTGCAAAGCAGAAGAGGTTCGTACTTTTTTTCTTTATAAGTATATTTTATACACTGTATTCTTTGTTAGGTTTCATATAGTGCAGATGGCTTGGAAGCAGTTGTATTTACAGCTCAAGGAGATATGCGACAAGCATTAAATAATTTACAATCGACATGGAATGGATTTAGACATGTTGATAGTGCTAATGTTTTTAAGGTATGCGATGAACCACATCCTCTACTAGTCAAAGAAATGTTACTTGAATGTGTAGATCAAAATATTTCTAAAGCATATAAGGTATTAATAATATTATTAATATAAATTTCATAATTTTTATTCTATTATATATTCTACTTTTATTTGTTTTTCTAGATCATGGCTCATTTATGGAGATTAGGCTATGCCCCAGAAGATATTATTACAAATATTTTTAGAGTTGCCAAACATTTAGAAATTAAAGAGTCATTAAAATTAAAGTTTGTTCAGGTAATATAGGTGTTCAAAATAAAAAAAACCCAGCACAGGGGTGTCGCGGCACAGTGGTGATGTGGCATAGTTGGATCAAGTATAATGATATCTGACAGTGATTAAAATCACTATAAAAAAAAACGCTACGATGCAAATATTTAGTGTTTAATTTTAAAAAATTGGTGGATTATTCCAAAAGCTACATGATCTGCTATTTCCTTATTAATATCCTGATTAAGATAAAGTATATCGAATGAAAAAAGGATATAAATATTATTTCTCATAAAAAAATTGTGTTGATCCATACACTTTTCAATAAGTTATAGCATTTTAAAGTAAAAAATGTAAAATATAAAATCGAGAATTTTCACACAAAAATAGCATTCGGTAGCCACTTTCACGGTGAAGACAAAATAAAGTCCAACATTTTTTTTTTTCCATAATAAAGTACATTACATTAACTTTAATTTAAGATATATATAAAAGTGTCAGACTTTTCGGAACACTTTCAAAACTTTAAAAATTGAAAAATTTTCCCTCGTTCCCCGCAAATGGGGGAAACCTCCAAAAAAATTACAAATTTAAAAATCGCTAATTTTCGAAATTTTTTCAATTTTTTTTACTTAAAATTGCCATAACTTTTTCAAAAATTTTATTATACTGTTTTATAAAACCGTTATTGTATAAAATTGTACAATGTAGCTAATTATTGCATTTAATTTAAGTTTATTCTTGTAACATTTAGTACAGTGTTAGAATGACAGAATTATGAGAAAAATAAGTTATAAAACGTATTCTCTTTTTTAACATTAATATTTGGCACAATTTTCTAATGTAAATAAATATTCTTAAAACATTTGGTTTTGGCAAGAAAAAAAGGAACCTAATTAAATTTTAATTGGAGTCCCTGCAACTAGTTGTATTATTGTTTACAAAATAAATATGAGAAAATTGTATCAATATTAATAAAACTATTATAATCATAACACCTCGCATAGTATGAAAATTTGGGAAAAGGTAATAGATAAGAAAATAAGAGTTGAGACATCTGTATCTAAAAATGTAAAAAATAAAATCGAGAATTTTCAAAAATAGCGTTCGGTAGCCATTTTCACCGTGAAGACAAAATAAAGTCCAAAATTTTTTTTTTTTCCATAATAAAGTACATTACATTAACATTAATTTAAGATATATATAAAAGTGTCAGACTTTCCGGAACACTTTCAAAAGTTAAGTTGAAAAAGTTCATTTTTTGTGAAAAAGTTGTCATTTTAAATCCCCCCCGTGGGCAGATAAAGGATCAAATTTATAAAAAAAATATACCAAATGATAGGTAAAGACATCAAGCATTTATAAAAAAAAAAATTATATTGATTTCTTCATTTTTAGAAAAGTTTTGGCAGTTTTAAGTAAAAAAAATTGAAAAAATTAGCGATTTTTAAATTTGTAATATTTGTAGAGGTGATCTTTTGATGTATCGTTGAAAGAAATCAGTTCAGTGAGAGCTGAGAAAAAGTGGTAACAGACATAAAAAAAACGCATCATAGTAAAACCAATACCTTCTCAGCTTTGAATCGAAGCTAAAATATTTTGGTTTTATTTGTTTAAAATTAAATTCCCTTTCACAATTCCTGTAGACCAGTTAGAGTTGAGATTTTTTTATTTTTAATTAGACATTTCAAAATAATTTTATCAGTTAATAAAATGTATATTTTCATAAGTTCTACTAACACTTAGCTAATATTTAATAAATATTTTTAGGAAATTGGTATGGTGCATGTAAGAATAGTAGAAGGAATGAATTCATTATTACAACTGTCTGGATTATTGGCAAAATTATGCAGGGTAGCTTCAAAATGTGAAAAATAAAAGTTGTTGAAAAATCATCATTTTTTGTTTTTTTAATTATTATTAATTATAACTTTTTACTATTACTCATCATTTTTATCTCTGAATGGTATGAACATGAAAGTTTTGAATAAAAATAATTCAACTTAAATTTATTTAGCAAAAATATAAAAAATTTAAATAAGATTAAAAAAATTGAGACAATGTTTTATTTCCTAGTATATTAATAGTTTATCTGATCTGATCTAAACTATAATTTAATCTACTTTGGTTATAGCAAATTGCTTATTTTTGGTTGTTTTACCCTTTATTCTATCTTATAAATTAATTTTATTAGTTTTAGTTTCATCCTTTTCTCTTAAACAATGACCCAACATCCTCAATGCTTTCTCACAATTTTTTTCTACTATTGATGAAACTCTTTTACCATCTTCTACATTGTAATCCTTAATCAATCCTTTCTAGACACTACACAACTACTATAGTACTCATTCTTTGATAAAATGCTAGCCTTATTACTATACTTTCTAGTTTTGATATATTTATACTTCTGATTGGGGTACTCTTATCACACAAAACACTTAATTCTTCTAACCTCTAAGGTCATCCATTCTAAATCAAATTTACTGCATAAATAGGTCCTAATTAAAGGTCATTATCACTTTAAATCTACTAATTTTTATTGAGTGGCATTTTTAAATCCAAATAATATAATAGTTATAAATTATACTAAACTAAAATTAATCATTTTTCACTACCTTTAAATAAAAATAATACTTCTATTAACTAACATTAATTTATTGTTTTATTCAATTTCTTTTTTTAGAATTAAAATCAAACTAATTGTACCAACTAAAGACATGTTATAAAAATATTAATGTGTCTGTACCCTGTAAATTAAATGACTCATATAAATTCAATTAAATATTAACAATTTAAAATTAATATATATGAAAATCACATTTAATTATTATTTTATACAAAAATAAAATTTAATTCAGATAAAAATTTGAATTATTAGTCAGTTCTTAAATAGAATTTGACAAAATATTGATGAGATATAATTTATGTCTCTAGAACAATCACATCTATATTAAATAAAAAGTACATATTATTAGTATAACATAAATTTTATATAATACCATTTAATTTTTTGGAAATTTTAACATGAATAATAGGTGGTAGAAAATTACTAGTGTAATTATTTTGATAACTTTTTAGTCCATTTTCAGAACTTGACAACTGGGTAGTTGATAAACATATATTCATTAACATTAAATGATTAAGCAGGGCTGTTAATTTTGATGGTAATCTATTCAAAGGAATGTCTTCAATATTTTTAATGGACGGTGTTAGATTTGTACTAATAGAAGGAATAACTGGATAATTAGGATCAGTCTCAATTTCTTTATGGAGCTCTTTAATTAAATCTAAATTCATTGAATCCCTTTTAAGTTGCATAGCTGTTGCAGTAACGATAGTAATAACTGTTGACATAGCTATCATTTGTCTCATTTTTTGGTAAACTATTTGCTTACGATACAACTGAAATGAAAAATAAATTAAAATTAATAGAATATAAATATAAAACATGCACAAACCTTTCTTATAGATCGTATAACTTTTGATATTAAAACAAATATTTTAAATATTAGAGAATTAGTTTGTTTTTCATCGCCATATAGTTCATATATTATTTTTTTATATCTTTTAGAAAATTCTTCTTTGCTTATATAAAATTGCCAATTCTATCATTAAATAACAAAATAAAACAATCGGTATTATTTTAATCTTTAATATTTCCAAAAATTATAAATAAGAAAAAAAAGAGTACCATTGCAGATAAATATTCTTTTTCCATTTGATTTATTTCTTTAAGACTTATACCATACGCAATTGCCCATTCACTATTAATTGCAGAATCAAGTTCACCATCATCATGTAAGTATTTACTGGCGACAAGCTAAAAATAGATAATACACAATAAATAAAAATTTAATTTTTATATTTGGATTACATACCAGTGAAATAAGAAATAACTCAGATGAGTTGATTGAATTTAAATATGCTGGATTTGACAGTTTCAACCTTTCAAAATACATTATAGCTAACACAAATGAACATGTATACACATAAGGAGATTCATCTTCACTATCAGTATAATAATCAAATTCTTCAAATTTAGAAATTAAATTCCCTGTTTTGATTTCTTTTGCTAATTCTGTAAAATATAGAATTAATCAATAAGTGTACTCCTTCAAGGGAAAATATGGAAAGTTAACACTATAAACGCATAAGAGTAGAAGTATAAATATTTATCCTTAATCATTTCTAAAATTTCAGTTATAACTCTTTATCAAAATTTCGCATTTTTAAATAACGGGATTAAAAGTTTTCCTTATAAAATAGTACCATACCTGATAATGGAAGTCGTCCTAAAGAAGTATTCAAAGGAAATATATTCAAATTTTCACGACCTATGACAGTAGTTAACTTCGACAAAAAGACATCATGATCATGATCACTTTCTACCTTTTATTTCAAAAATAAATACAACTTTTAACAATCAATAATATTTTAAAACTCAATTAAAACCATGAAATTAATTAAAGGTCTATAATTATTACCTTAGAATTCGAAAGTTTCATTCTATTTCGACTTTTTATACAATATTTTGAAGATGTCATCATTAAAGTTTCACTGAAACAATTTGGCTGCCTTAATTTTTCTAAACCTTGTATTTTAATTTATATGTAAATTTCACAGTTAAAAAAAAACGAGACGACCTTTAAAAAAGAAAACTATTCTTCACGTGTCTAGAAAAAACCACAGAGTAGCTATATCACAGACTTAACGAAAATATAGTCTGGGGCTATATGATAAAACAAAACATTTAACGTAGTGTTAAGATATCATAGCATAGGAATGCGCATATCATGTATACAGAGTGATTGGTTTATCATAAACCCCTCAACTTCTCGCAAAAAAAATACAATAATGAAAAAGAAAAGTTAGCTTATTTTGGTTACGTATATTTCATGATTTATTAGCTAATAATTAATTATTAGGATCATCCTTTATAACTTAAAGGAGTATAAACTTTATGCTTTTAAATGGCAACATACATACATAAATAGCTTATAAAATAAAAAATAATCTAAGAAAATGACTGATCGATAACCAAATGTTTGGAAGCTATTTTCATTTTTATACTTAGGTAAAACGAAGAATACGGTTCTATAATATGGAATCCTCAGCGAGTTGGTTATGTTAAAGATCTAGATAGAATTAAAAACAGATTGTCATATATGATAAAGTCAAAATTAGGGACATAGCATAAGAAACTAATTGAATTCTCTACTCAAGGAAAGATTTGATAATGACATTGAGTTTTTATTTAAATTATTAAATATTACTATTGACTGTCCAGAGTTACTAGTTCACAACACACGCGTCTCCTCTTTCATTCCTTTACATTAAAACTAATAAGCAAAATTACAGCACGCTCCTTTCAACCGAATTTTTTCAAATTATAATAAGCTTGAAAACAGTGATTTTTTTAATGACTCACTAAAGTTTTTTATTACTAAAAATTTTGTTGATTATAAAATGTATATTATGATATTATAATATTATTTTAAAACTTACATTACTATAATGGTTTTTGTTAATTATTTGTATACTGCTTGCCTTATAAGGCGTAATTTATTTGTTTCTTTTTGAGAAAAATATAAATAGATGTTGTCATCTAGAAAAAAAAAAAAAATTACACCCCTTTAAGTGATATGGATGATTCTAAAAAGTAATTATTAGCTAATAAAGCAAGAAATATATGTAACTAAAAGAAATCAAAATTTTTTTCAATATTGTATTTATTTTGCAAGTAAACTAGGGATTTATGATAAACTAATAATTCTGTATATAGGTTACCCACGATATTCTAACAAAAAAAAGGTATTTATCAAAAAATCGTATATATAGATGGCCAGAATTTCATGTTACAGACTTTTTCTCGAAAACTGTTAAAAATATAAGTGTTTAAAATAAAAGAACTATTATGCGTTATAATTGGTTTGTATAATTTAAATTTTTATTAAGTAATGATTTATAAATTAATACCAAACCTAATCAAGAATATAGAGTATGCATATTATTATACAACGTTTGTTGTACCTTAATTTATAACAGATATTTTAGTTTATTACACCATTAAGTGATACCAAACAATACAAGTTTACAACACTTTAAAATTTTATTTGATTTCAAATTCAAAGGGCTGTTCTCAAAGACTATATTATTAAACACATTTTTTTTCATTAGTAAAATTTATAAAAAAAAATAACTTTAAATGCTGCATTAAGAACAAACGATTTCATTTGATTTTTCAAAGTTGATCTCCTAAAGCAACCACTTATTTAAAAAAATACAAGCTTAACATAATTTAACGTATTAAATCATGATGAAAAACATTTTTTTGAAACACTATTATTTTCAATAATTTTTGAGAAAACAATACATGTCAATACACAAAAAAAGAACTTAAAAATCCTTTGAAAAAACGTAAAACAATCACTATAACCTATTGAAGCCTATAATGTCCATCCGCTTTAATAATAATCTCCAAAAACAAAAATTACATATAGAAATCCTTAAACATGTATAAAAACATATTAACATGTTTTACATTCAGTGGCGTATTTTGAATGATTTCTCGGGTGGTGCCCAACTTTTAATGAACCTCACAAACGAAAATTATAGAAATGGTTACTGACGTAAAAAAAACTTACTATTATTGTAATTACTATTTTAGGAATTGACAAATAATTTGAAATTTGAAATTTTGGTACTGTTGTATCTTAAAAGAAACAACCCTAGTGTCTTAACTTAAAGTAATAAAAGTTTAATAATAACTCAAATGTATTTATTATAGATATAATTAAACAATGCAAAACATACAAAATAAATATACACTAAAAACACAATAAAACAATACAAAAAATGAAAACTTAATGTCATAAACGTACCGCGCGAAAAGAGATTACCTTCGGTGCTCTTGAGGTCCTCTTTCCTCTACGATTCATTCCATTTCGTCTTATTTACTAAAATATTTTGTTTAATTTTTCTTCTTTTTGCAAAATTAATAATACTATCGTTTTCAAAAATGTTTATAAATATTTAATTCCTGGTCTAATAATAATAGATCAGGAAATTACAATTAAATGAAACATTACAAAAATGTTTTACTTCCAGCTTTACAAATGATAAACTATATTACAGTATACAGACTGATTTTTTTATCATAACCCACTCATTTACTTGTAGAATAAATATAATTTAAACATTATTTTTGGTTTTCTTTAGTTACACATTATTCTTAAATTATTAACTATTTAAAACTTTTTATGTTCATCCCTTATGCCTTGTAAGGGTGTCAACTTTGTCTTTTTGTCTTTTAAATGGGAACACATATTTTGAATATAATAAAATGTTTGGATTTTTAATTAAATAGTAAATGGCATTTGAATTTTTAATATAACTTTATTAGTTTATTAGATATAAACATTTAAAATTTCAAATTTTTGAGTTAAAATACATGTATAATACACATGATGATATGATTACAAATACAGGTAGCTAAATGGTTTATATGATAATAATGTCACTTATTGTTTATTATCAATTATGACTATCATAGATATACTTTCTGTATTGTCAGCTAGTGTATTTTTAAACTCACAACAATGTGCCTTACTACCATTGATAATAACAATGCTGTGTACCTGCTAATTTCTTTGAAGTTGTTAACTTAAAGTAACTCATTTTTTTTTTTTGATAATTCTCTGTATTATTCTTAAAATATTGTATTCTTTGACCAATAATACAATTAAAATAAATAAGTATTATTTATACTAAATTCTCTGTAAATTCTTAAAATATTGTATTCTTAGACCAATAATACAATTAAAATAAATAAGTATTTTTTATACTAAATTTATTTATAATTGGCGTATACATTTTTTTAATGAATTTTTACAATTAAGTTTCCTTGACAATTAGATGTAAATGTTGATTTTATCGACATTTCAGTTCACTTCATTTTTTCCCGTGAAAAATAAACTATCGTCTTGTGTAATTATTAAGATTTATTTAATTAGTTATTGATATGGCAAGTGAAAAAAATATTTTTGGTCAAACTTACATAAGGTCATACGCAGAGTTGAAGAAATATGGAATCGTCGTTTCATGCATTCCAATTGTGTTTTAAATAATACAAATAAAGGACAAATATCAAAAAAGTCAACTAAAGATGGAAGAATTATCTGTAAACACTATTAAGATTAATAATTAAACTAACTATTTCGAATAGAGAAAAAGTTTTTTAATATAAAATATAAGAAAAATTAATAATAAGTTCTCTTATTCATATATAACAATAATTCAGTCGCTTTACTTTAATTTAACTATTTTAATATTAAAAACCTTTATCGAAATTGATTATTTAATTAATAATTATTAAAATTATATTCAATTTGCAGCAATTATTAATAAAAATATTTATTCTATAAAAAATTCCATTATTCCAAAAAAACGCACGTATCGAAAAACGAATAAAAATGATAAAATTATTCCTGAAAAATTGGTAACTATAATTATATTAATATATTTATTCGATTTAGCTATGTTATTGGGGTTTGTCTGATTCAAAAATATAAAATAAACTATCAACCCCCTTAATATAAATGCGGTAACATAATGTTTAATATTATTCTGCTATTATTTCTATTAGATTTTTATGGGAAATTCAATTTTTATCGAAGATAATAATATAATATTAAGTATAGTTTATTTGTTTATTTAAATATCTCTTTGGTTACCTAGAATATGACGCAGCAAAGAGAATTCGGAACACTTTTCCAGAATGAAAAATATAAAAATGAAATTTTAAATGCAACAGAAAAAAAAAATATAGCATTTTCAAAAGACAATCCGCTATTAATATCAGCTGATTTGTTAGAAAAGGTATATTTTATTATGCTTTATTTCAATAAAAAGATTTTAGGGTATACCCTAAACCATTTTTTGGACTTAAAGCAGATTTCTTAAATAAATTTATCATATAATTAAATATATTTTTTTGATCCGTTAAGAGTTTTCATAAGAAAAATTTGGAACGCAAAAAATCCGAAATAAAAAAACAACTTTTTGAGATATCTTCTAATACTACTGCTCGACCAAATTTAAAAAGAAATTCATCCGAAGAAGATGAAAAAGTCATAAAAAGTATACAACTTTTAAAATATAATTCATTTTTAAAAAATATGAAGTTTTGATTTTTGAAACAAATATGTAATATTTTTAAACATAAATTATTTTAGAGCCAAAAGTTAGTTCTAATCCTTTGACCTTAAATACGCCGAATGACGTAAATTTACTTGCTCTGTCCACTATTGAAGTAATAAAAGTACCAGAGAAAGAAAAAGGTAATTAGTTATTTAATCTATTTATTTTATGTAAAATTAAATAAAAAAAGATTATTTATTAAACATAATTAATTATAATAATACGAGTTAAATTAATATAACTTCTGCAGAGGCGTGTCATTAAGGGGGTCCATGGACGTTTTAAATAAAAGTAATTATACGTGTTTAATTTCATATTCTAAAACCTTAAATAAACCTAAATAATAGTAAACTATTCAACAAAGTCTTTTATTAATTTTATGAAAAATGTTTAAATATGGTTACACTTGCAGAAGTAATGCAAGATCAGAACACAAAATCTCTTGATCAGTATAATGCACCTTCATTTAAATCGCCCACATCATGGTATACTTCAGACACAATTAATGAGTACATTAAAATGATAGTAAAACGGTCAGAAGGTGAAGTTTATGCAGTTGTCACTGATTTTATTGTAGCGTATCTTCGAGGAGGTTATCCAGCTGTAAGAAGATGGATAAAAAAAGATATTCACACAATAAAATTACTTTTTGTGCCCATGAATGTATATGAGAGTCATTGGATATTGACAGTGGTTAATATACCTGAAAAGACTGTGACATCATATGATAGTCTTAAGTCGTATGAGGGTCCCTATCCAATGGTATTAAAAAATTTCTTAATTGAATGGGAGATGGACAAAAAAGGAAAAGCTTCTACATGGACATTACAAATAGGCGAGACATCTCGCCAAACCAATGGACATGATTGTGGGCCATTTACTGTTGAGCTGGCAGAAAAAATGTCTCGAGGAGATACAACACCAATAAATGCAAATTTTATGCCTTTTATAAGATTAAGACACAAAAATGAAATTATTGCTGGCGAGCTATTCAATTAATATTTTTATGAATGAAATTTTATTTTTGTATTTTATATCAATTTTCTTAATATTCACTATAAATTGAAATTTTTATTTGTATACCACCAAACATTTTTTTACTTTTTCTATGTTTAATTGTTGTTTTGTTATTTTATTTTAATCTTATTTTTCTTTGTAACATTTCATTTAAGAAATTCAAATTTAATATAAATTTATCTTAACTGAAATAATTTAATGTTCTTGTTATGTGAATATACAAATATTATAATATACAGTTATGGATACAATTAAGTTAAAAAGTCAGCCAATTATAAATTTTTAAATTAACAAGCGTATCTACTATCTTAACAACTTAATTTTAATTTTACTAAATGACGATTCATAAAGAATTTCATAACTTTTGTTTATTTTTTAAATACTATTTTAATCATAAAAAATTCTTTTCTGTATTTTTTATGAATGCGGCGGTATATTGAATAGGGGTAACTAAACTTATTTGTTTATAATTCTCTAAACTGATAAACTATAAAATAAATTTAAAAATGAACTACAAGTTCAGAATATTTCCGTTGTTATTATATTTTTGCTACGGGTATTTTTGTTACCCAATGAAATCCAAATAATTTCTAGAAATCTCTGATAAAATATAGATAAATACGTGTCGTCGAATCCTATCAAATTATCTTCAATTTTGTTATTTATTTAAAATACCATTTATTTTATAGTAAATAAATATAGTATATTATAAAAAAAAGTTAATACCAATATATTAGGCATTTTTTTTAAGTCGGGGGGTGTCCAGACATGGAGGACACTCTCCCAAAATACGCCACTGTTTACATGCTACAATACATGAATTTCTGATCACTCTGTATATGTGTGTAATGTATGTCATAGTATCCATATTTTTCATGGCCGAAGCACAGCTATCAGAAGATATAATTATCCAAAAATGTTAATCAGTTTGGCCAACTGAACCGGCAGGATGTTGACATTTTAAAATCATTCTACGAGATGATAAATGATAACAAACAATTTTCAGCTTTTGAAGTTACGAATACTGACTAATATAAGCGGTTGTTTTGATTTATTTAAAAATATTTGGATAAAATTTGCCAGTAGTAATGGACACGTCATTATTTAATTATCCAAATTATTATTCAATATTAATTAGTCACTGTTGATTTTATGATGGTTAAAAGCCTATTTCAACTGCTGAGATGATTTTCCATTAAGTATATTGAATATAATGAATAATACTTCATATTAAAATCATCGATGACAATTAGAATGTGGCTTCTGCTATTTTTACATTTATTTATTCATACAATACTGCCATGTTATTGTTTAAATAAGGAAGATGTGATATTTGCTGTCAATGCTGGTGGTGATGCCCATGTAGATAGTTTTGGTATATTGTATCAAAGAGATTTTAATAAAATTGGTACAGAATCAGATTATGGAAAAAAATTATCCATACAAAGAGTTAAACACCATGACCAAATACTTTATCAGACTGAAAGATACTCTCACACTTCATTTGGTTATGATATACCCATCATGCAGAATGGTGAATATGTAATGGTTTTAAAATTTAGTGAAGTTTACTTTACAAACAGTGGATTAAAAGTATTATGCTCTAACCTTTCAGAAATATTTTCTATTATAGTTTAATATATTTTTCAGGTCTTTGATGTTATACTTAATAATCAACACATCATTGTACCTCAACTGGATATTTATGATAAAGTTGGATTTGGAGCTGCTCATGATGAATATATTGAGTTTAAAGTTGATGGTTCAACTTTATATTGGAGGGGAGAAATGTCTGAAATAAAATCAAATTTAATTCGTGTAGACTTTATTAAAGTATGAACAATTAAATAATAGTTAACATTAATACATTTTACCATTTTTATAGTGTCATTTTTTTAAAAATTTATGTGATCTAAATTTTTTTGTAAGTTTTTTATGATTGAAATTTTTTTATTACCTTTTGTATAATTAATATTTTATAACCAAATGGTTTTTAATTAGATATAGAAATTGATCATCCTTTATCATAGAGATTTCTATAAAATGTCAAATGATTTAACTTCTAAATTCATTATAATATTTGAAGAAAAAATGGGTAAATAAAACAATTTTAGTCATTAATGGTAGAATTATGTATTTTTTAAAAGACTTATAAAATTACAGTATTTAATAAATAATATTTAACTTATTTCCATTAGTATTTTACTCTTATATGATTTATACATTTAAACATAAACAAATATTTTTTATTATTATATAAGAAATATCAAATTAATTCATATTTTATTGTTCCTAGGGTGAACGTGATAATCCAAAAATTAATGCCATACTAGTAGCAAAGGGTAGAGTTTCAGGTAATATTTGTTAAAACAATTATTTATTTATTTTTACACTTCATTAAATTTGTTTGATATTTGTTAACTAGTATAATCTAGGCAGCTATAAATGTAAGGTAATGTGCTAAACAATAATGCAGTGCTTTTAATTTTTTTAACTGAGTTTACATAGTCTTACACACCCCTAATGTCTGTACTGAATATAATTTATATATATTCATAGATATATATAAGATACCTATATCACATTTTACAAAATAGTACTTCCTATAGTAAATAGATATTATGGAATTAATTTTTAAATTAAAAAATGAATTTTTGATGCATTTTCATTTTTAAAATAAATTTTTACTATACTGTTTAGTTCCCATAAAAAAATACTTGGTTTAATTTTATTAATTTACACATTTTTATAATATTCATTTTTAACTACTAATTAAGATAAACAAATCATTAAATTAGATTTATTTATTTACATATTTTATTATATTTATAGATATACCTAAGTTACCAGACATTCATTCTGAGTTAGAACATCAAAAAAAAAATGAAGTTGATCCAAATTTTGAAGAATCATTTGCTGGTGATAATAAAGATACTATAAAAGTAACACAACATTCAAGAAACCCTAGTGGTCCTAAAAGCCCTAATCCTTATGATGTTGATTCCATGAAGTTAATGCCAGTATTTGTAGCAATAATTGCATTTTTTGGAGCACTTCTTCTACTTTGTAGACTTTAAAAAACTTGATTACTTATCGAGTTCATAAAAAGTAAATAATTGTATAATTTTTTTTAACACTACGTTATTTTATGTTTACTATATATATATATAGTAAAAGTATATAGTATACACTACAATATTATTTTAGTGTAATGTTAGTTTTTTGTTTTTAACTCTGAAAGTTTTTTTTTTAAGCACATTTATTTTGATTAAATAATTACATTTGGTTTAACAATTATTATAAAAATATCTAATTTTTAGAGAATATATATTTTGAATGTTTTTTACTTTATAATACAAAATGTATGTTCTTGTGATTGCAAACTAAGAAAATGTTAATTTAATTAGTTTGTTTCAAACAGAATACATTTATTACAAGTAAAAAATTATAAATGTATATATAAAATTTAAGTCTTAGTGTAATATAAAGATTAAAAATTGAAATATTTTATATAACATCTCTGAATGTTCTTATTAGATTGAATAATAAAAATATATAATTTTTAATTGTTTTTTAATTCTTCATACATTTATATCTATTAAACAATTATTTAAATTGCTAAAAAATAAGTTTAATGACTTAATTTATTACAAAACATTCTTTAAGGCATAGAAAATAAATATGAAACATTATAATATATCACGCAGTAATATTCAATGCATTAAGCAAGCTTAGATTATGAGATCTGATGTCTAACATTTAATTGAGGTCCGTTATTATTCATATATTTTATGCTATGCTTAAACAAAAAATTATGAAACCCTAAATTATACCTCTCTTAACAGCCATTTTGATTTAATAACCTCATCAAGAAATGCAGTACTTTAATTTTCTCTCCTTAAATTAATACCATAATAGGTACACTTAAAAATTATGCAGTCCTATAAATGTTATAAATATTACATTTTTTAAGTGATAAGCAAAAAAAGAGATTGCCAATTTACAAAATTTTTCATTTTCAAATGCTAATTTCAAAACAAGTACGCTCCAAATATGCACACACAGATTTTTATCTAACAAGTACGTTTGCAATTGACCCGAGAACTCTTACACACAATTTATTCATTTTTTACATATTTAAATTTAGTTATACTATTCTAAAAATGAAGTAAATTAACATCAACTATTGAATAGTAGCCACTACAACAGTAACATATTATTGGCCAAAGTATTTGCAATTTATTTCTAATTTATAGACCACTAATATTTATTCAATTGTTCACATAAAGACCCGGTGTCATAATATATAATAAAATACTATAGATTTTATTACATATCTATGGGTGTCTTAAAAAAGGAAAATAAAGAGTTTTTTTATGTTGCACGATTTGAATCATTAGTTAAATTGGTTTTCTACAAGTGAGAAAAATTAAATAACTTTTTTCAATAACACTAGAATTTACTTTTTAAAAATGTTCAATATAGATTTAATACAAACAATTACACAAAAATAACACTGATGTAGTATATAATTTAATTCGTTAATAATTTTTAAACTAATTTTCTCAATAAGATATAGATTTATGAAGTTTTAGAAAAATATTAGTTAACTGCACATTTAATTTTAAAAAAAGTTAGTTTAGTTTTTTTGTAGTAATCTATGGAAGCATTACATGAAATTATTTTTATTAGATTTTAAATTTAAAAAAAAACTCTCAACAAGTTAAACAATAATGAACATGCACATCTAATTTATCATTTTTAATACTTTTACAAGTAATTTAGTTTGTATTTATAAAAATTTAAAAAAAAAACAATTTATTCCTGATTTAGTTATATAGCTTCTACATAAATTTATTTGTAACCAAAACAGTTATAGGCTATAATATTAATATTAATGACAATGAATGCTTTCACTCCACGCAAAAAGTTAATAATTTTAATAGATTTTTAAGATAATTTCTGTGAGAACGTAGTCAAGTAAAACATTTAACTTTTTAAAGAAAACAAAAACACAAAATATTTTTACCCAATAGTCTATTCGACATCAAATTTTATTAAAAAAAATATAACCAAAATATGGAACTAATATTGATACTGCTAAATAGTCTAAATTTTTCAATTAAATTGGTAAATTATTTAAAAAAGTCAAAATTGAACTAGACTACCTCACAAATACCATCCATACATGTATTTATATAACCTTACAACACAATTTTTTTTAATAATAATGAAGTATTATTGGTAAACCATCTCAATGAAATTACTGTAATAGTTTGGTAAAATTAAAAAATATCACAAAAATTGAATGCACATGAAAAACAAAGACTAGATTTGGTTAATTGTTATTTTCAATTTCCTTAAAAGAATAATAATCTAACTATAAACTTATTTACAAATCATTCATTATATTGATGCTTAATAAATTAGTTAATTAGTCGATTATCCTAAAAATATTAATAATAAATTATTATTGCACATTATAAAAACATAAATGTACATAGTTAATTCCAAATTAATGGCATTCAACAATTGGTGAATCATGCACGCTTATAACACTATCTGAATCAGAATTAGTAGAAAATGGTGTTAGTCTTGTATATGGAATTGGTCTTTTTCTTGCACTATAAAAAAATGTTTATTGTTACTTAAATTATAAAGCTCAATTCACTGAAAATTCAGAAATAGATAATTACCAGCTTTGGAAAAACTGCCAATAATAAAACATAATCAAGACTAAATATAAAATTAAAAAATATTTTATGATAAAACACACAAATAATAATTTAGTTTCAACACTTGATACATCTGAAAGCCAAAAAGAAAAAATAATAAGTGCAAAAATGATAAATAAATACATCTATAAATAACATTGCAGTCTTTCACTAACTTACAAGTGAAATATCCTTAATAGTACAATTTCATTGTACTACAATTTGTGCAAAATATAAGGTATTTTGTAAGGTAATTGCAAAATAAAGAATGAAAATTTGTATAACTTACAAAAAATTTGAAAATTCATTTATTGTATCTTAAAATATAATACATTTTATAAGAAATTATAATCGCACATATTTATTTAAATAAATAAAAATCTACATGATCATGCACACTAGTAATCTACTAAAACAATAAAACAAATTAAGCACATAGGCAATTAAAAATTAAAAGAGTCAAAATTATTTATTAATTTGTCATGTGCTAATAAACTAAAATAATTAGCCAAAAGCCTTTTTGTAAATTAATAAAAATCAATTCTTATACAGCATTTTAATATAATCTCTTTAAACTAATAGGTTTTTTCAAAACATATTAAAAATAATATTTAGTTGAATTCTTGATGTATGGTATGCAATAAATTAGATAAAGAAATATTTATTTATAAATATTTTTAGTATTATTTATAGTATTTAATTGGAAATATAAAATAACTATACCCCTTAAAATAAACTTACATAAAGGCCAATTTTACATTCGGGACATAAATTGTACAAAAATTTCTTAAAAAGATAACCTGATACTTGTGTTCCAGTCTCATCATCCAAGTTGTAACTTGAACATAATTAAAATGAGATAGGAACATAAATTTACTATTTTTGTTACAGTATTTATAATATAAATGAATTAAAATTGAGCATATAATTATATAATATGAACAATGTAATACTATCATCTTTCATTTTTTTTAAAATAAAAATTGTAAATAACACACACATACACACACTTATGATGGAAATTACCTTGTTATTCTTCTTCTGTCCAAAAAACTTGGTGACCCTCGTCTTCTAGGTATTGAAGCAGATCGGGATTTTGAACTCCTGTTAGAAGCAGAACTACTAGTATCATCACTAGAACTATTAGAGCTGCGTGAATATTGACTACTTGATGAACTCGTTGACGAAAGACTAGAAGAGTAACTTCTTTTCTTTTTTTTATAAGACGAATAAGAATTACAAGAGCTACTACAATCTCTACTTCTTTTTTTTTCAAGTGACAAACGTGTTTGTTTAGAAGACTTAGGCTTACGCTCTGGGCTAGAATCACTACTTGATGAAGCTCGTTTCTTTCTTGACCGTTCTTTGGAGCTAATTGATCTAGATTTTGAGCGAGATTTACTCTTGTCTTGCCTATGCGATATTGATGATTTTTTCTTAAATGATTTGTCTGGATGGTTTTTTGAAGACTTTTTAAAATCTACACTACTGTTTTCACTCAAACTTCCACTACTACTGCTGCTACTGCTGCTGCTGCTGCTACTACTACTACTACTACTGGAATGTGAATGTTTGATTTTTTTCTTTGTTTTTTTATCATCACTATAATTAAAAAAAACATATTTTTAACATCTAAAAATTAATGCAGAAATATAAAATCAATAATGAGAATAATTAACATAATTTTAACTATTTTGTGATAAAATTTAATAATAATTTTTTTTTAAAGAAACTTTATATACAGAATTAAACAAAAATATAAATTTCAAAATTTAAACATAGAATAAGTGAAATAATAATCAAAAATATTATTCAATTATTTCACTTTAAATATAAAACTTAAATTCATTTTTTTGTTTTTTTTTTCATTGTATAGGAAATACTAGATATAAGAAGAAAATATTTTTATCGATACTAATTAAAATACTACATTTTAAAATTTAAATAAAGCATAGATTATAATTATAAAACTAATTAATAAAATGATGTTCACAAACCTAGAACTAGAAGATGGTTCATTGTTACGACCTCTTTTGAGAGCTTTATTTCTTTCAGTTTCTTCATCTGAACTTTCACTTGAATTATTAAAAACTTTAGCTTTATTTTTTTTTTCCATTATTTTTTTCTTTAGATGTAATAAAGCTTGCTCTTGTTTTTCATGTAGTTCAAATACTTTTTTTATCTTTTCAGTAGTAATTTCCTTAATTATATTTAAATCTATATCTTCTTCAAAATCTCCATCATCAGATTCAATTGATAGAACATCTTTTTCATTAGTCTTCCTAGTATCAAGTCTTTTTAGTTGCATAGAGATCTTACCATCATTTTTAGAGGAACGTTTTGATTCTTCTAATTTTCCATTAGATTTAGATTCAAATACATGATCTTCACTAGTATCTCTAAGTGAAAATGTATACTTAGTACTTTTCACATCTTTATCTCCAATGCCCTTAGAGGTATTAGACTTAATGCTGGTGTTCATTTTTTTAGGTGGAGGTGTATAGCATGAACGATCACTATCTGAGTCAACACAAGTTATTTTTTCACGTTGTGTAATTGATCTACTTTCTTTAATTGGACTAACACTTTTTTTTAAAAAAGACTTTTTAATATTTCTCTCGTGTTTTTTTTCATAATTATCTTTATTCTTATTAAATTTTATTTCATCATGGATCTTTTGGGATTTATGTGAATATTTATCATACTCTCTATTATTTCGTTCTTTATACCTTTCACGTTCTTTTTCTGTTGATCTGCTTCTACGAGAGTTATGATATTTTTTTGGGTCTTGTGAATTTTTTGATTTATGTTTATAAGATTCTTCTACATTTTTATCATGTAATTTTGATGAATCTCTTTTAACATTTTCTCCTTTTTCACTTTTATGCTTAGTTTCAATTTCTTTATAATCTAATTTATGATTTTTTTCAATGTCTTTTTGATGTTTTTTTAAATATTCTTCAGACTCTTTTATACTTTTTTTATTATTTCCTTCAGCTTTACTTAGATTTACTTTCTTAGATTCTTCACTATTTTTTAATTTTGATGAACTTTTATTTATCTTGAACTCTTCTTCATTACTACTAAAAAGAACCATCCATTAAAATACAAAATGATATTTATTAATCTTTAATATAAAATGGAATCACAAAATTCAACAATAAAAAAATTTTAAAATTACCTAGGACTATTCTCTTCAGTTGACTTGAGCTTCTTTTTATGCTTTTTAGATTTCTTTTTTTCCTCACTTTTTACTCTGCAATCAAAAAACATATTACATTATAAAAATTTAAAGAAAAAAGTAGTTTATTTTAATAAAAAATATCAACTTTATAAAAATGAAATTATGTGAATACTTCATAGTTCAAAATGACATCATATTTTTATAAATTATAATCTTCATATATAATAAATTAAAAATAAGTGAGTGAGATATTCATTATTTAAGTGTAAGTTTTAATAACATTAAGTAATTATTATTAAAAAAGTTGTAATATACAACTTTAAGATAAACAAAAAAAGAAAAATTAATATATTTAATAAAACTCTAATTTGTAATCAACAAAATTTATCATGTTTAAATGAAGATTTAAAAAATAACACAATTAATAGAACTCTTAAAAAAATGTTCTGAGGGTTACTTAAAATTAAAAGTATTTTATTAATATATATGACTTATTATGTAATTATATTACTATAAATCAATATATTTTTCACTATTTGGAAAAAACATATGATCCGTAAGTTGCAATGCATCTTCAAAGAAAATTTTTTTTTTTTTAATCTTAGAATATTACAGAAATAATATACTTTTAAGCAGTGGTGAAGTGTTTTATGCACAATTAGATGTTCATTTACTTAAAATATGGTCAAAGAGATTAGTTATATATGTAAAAATAAATTATAAATGTGAATTTAATAATACATATTTTATACGAACATTATAATATTTATGTTTCTTAGAATACGTTAATTGAGTTAAGGCTAAGTTAGCATGAGTTGAGAGTGCTCAGCCCAAACAATTAAGTAAAATTTTTCTCATTTTTCTATGAGCGATATATGTAAAGGGATTTGAAAAAGATTAGCAATAATTGTAGCTTTATGAAACATGTCTTCAGGTGATGTACGTGTCACAAAGGAGTCTAGAGTAATTAGTATCATTTCTTCAATCTCAAAATTTACGCTTCACCACTGATTTTAAGGTGTAGAATTTTAATTAAAATAATTAGTATTAATTAATCAAAGTTCTAATGAATTTAACAATAAATTAAGTATTAAATCTTTAAATATCACTTCATTATTTTATAAAAATAATAATACAATTCATCTTAAAAAAATTAAAATATTGAATTTTGTTTTCATAATAAAGTTTTATTATGAAGTACAGTATTTCAAGATTATTTAATAAAAATTAAAAATGTTTAATCTAATTGTTGTTAGGTTAATATTCAAATTAGTATGCTATTTTTAATAATTATAAAAAAAGAAATAACTGTAAATATCCTACATATTTTTGTTTTTTTGATCAAATTTATTGTCAATTTTTTCAAATAAGTAAAAAAAAAAATTTACTCGTGTTGTTTACAAATAACTACACAATTTTAGTATTTTGTCATAAGTAAAAATATAGTATATATTTAGTATTTGCCTAGACACATATTTAGTTAATTTAACTAATTAAAAACACGTATATAAGACATTTAAAATTTTAAATCTTTCATTTAACAATTCATTGTTATATTAGAATCATCTAAAAGCTAGATAATTTAATATTTAATTTACCTAAATGAAAGTACTCATATATTATTTTATATTTTCAAAATAATAATTACTTGTACAAAACAAATAAATAATGGATCTTATAAAATTGAGAAATATGATACTTTAATAATGCCGTATGGAAAATCACACCAAAACAAAAATTATTGTATGGAAAACATGTAACTTACCACTATACAGTTTATTATCCTTTAATCAGTTAAACTAAACAGTAATCAACAAATTGCCTAATTAAAAAAATAGTTTTCATTGTATAGCTACATTGGGTATCAACTATTGTAAAGAGTTATGATGATCAAAGGTTTGAAAAACTATATTTAAACTATATGCATTATAAAATTGTAGGTTAAAAAAATCTTTGATCATCAATTTCAATAGTAAACATTAACTACTTTTAAAAAATGATAAAATATATTTTATTTATTTTTAAATTTATTGTATTTAAACTTCACATACTTGTCTGTTTTGTGGGACTTAGACTTCTTCTTCTTTCTTTTTTTATGTTTTGGACTTTTTGAGCTATAATTACATAAATGTCTATGTTTTTAAATGTACTTAAAAAAAGTTAATAAACAATAATGCTAAGTAAACTTACAGTATTTCAATTTTTGTACTACCATCTTTATTTACAGTATCTTTAGTTTCTGTTTGAACAACTGTTTGTTCCACCTGTAATGCCTTTAACTGAGCTAGTGCTGCTTCTTTTGCTTTTCTTTCTGGGTCTAAACTAGAACCTTCAATGAAGAATTCAGATATACCAAAAGCATCTCTTAATCTAGCATTCTTCTTCAACTGTTCATCAGCATATTGATGGGTGTCCTTCACACTTTAAAATAAATATAATTATTAATTACCCAATTATTATTACTTGATAATAAAATAATACATTTCTCCATTAAAAAATATACTTAATTTATCATAACTTTTTTTCTTATGATAAGTTTGTCAAAAACTATTTTTAATTACCTTACAAATGATTTTAGCACATTTATGTCAGCAAAATGTAATCTATTTAAGTATAATGAATTAAGAAAGCTCAAATATGTGTTAGGGTGATAAATAGACTTATTGGAATTATTTTTTAATAATTCAGCACCTAACATATTTAATTTATTACTGCAATTACAATCACACATTTTTTGGTTCACTTTTTTTTTTCGGCGGCGCCTAGTCCTTTTCTTATTAATATTGACATTCAATTGTTGAAAAGACTCTGCTTCAGTTGTAATAATAGAATCATTAGAGTTTTTGAAGACTGACTTTAATGTTTTACTCCATACTCTTTTAAAACATTGTTGTTCATTGATTTTTGATTCAGACATTGCTTTAAGTTATTTTAGTTTAAACTGCATAAACTTAATCAAATAGTTAATTACGATTTCTTTTCTTATGTTTAACTTAATTCAATTAATTATATCACAATTTTAAATGTTGGAAGACAAATTAATACAAAAATGGAAGACAAATTTTGTAATATATCACAAAGTAATATGGAAGACTTGAGTGTTTATGGAGGCATATATTGTGGTTTCTTCATGATTTACATATTAAAAAATAATAGATTATTTTACACTAAAATCATTTGTAAATGAAAGAAACTGAAACAGTATATTATTTCAGCTAGAATAGATCAAGTATAATAAGTGAGTCATGCACAAACTGAAAAGGGTGGTACCAGTATCAACCAATCAAGAGAGGATAGGGTGTAATCAAGTATTGATCCATGCAGGGTTGTGTAACATTAGATATACATACATACATATATATATAATGAATACAATTTTAAATGAAAATATAATGCCCCTAATAAGAAAACAAATAATTAAGAAAAATTATATTGTAGACAAGCCTAGGTTTTAATGGCAATTAAATATATATATATACATATATTTTTTAAAGAGTTGACTTTAGTTAAAGATTTTTTAAAATGAACAATAAACTAATTTATTACTTTTTATATTTGAAATAATCCTTCATTCCTAACATTATTTATAATTTATAATTTAACATTATAACATAAAACTTACATTGGCCTTCCAAATTCATCATACTCAGTAGTTGACTTTTGTTTACCCAATAGAGTAATACGAAATGTATTGATTTTTTCAACTATTTCATCTTGTGAGTAACTAGAAGAAATTAAAATGACACAGGTTAAACTAAGAGTTAACATTAGATTAATTTATCAAATACACTTACCCTTGATCTTCCAAAGATTGTTCTAGTTCTATGCATTTTAATTCAATTTTTCTTTTACGATCATGATCTAAGAGTTCTTGATTAGGTTGGCGATTAATTGCAGAATCTATTTTAGCCAACTCTTCTTCAGTTTTAAATGATGTTTGATCCTTAACTTTTTTTACAGCAGCCCAATTACGTTGCACATAACCATTAGTACCAGAGCCACGAGCAGTGGCCAAACCAATGCCATTATACATTTTCTACGAGGGAATTAATGCAAGGATTTTTTTTTAAATATGAATTTATAATTTTAATACTTACGGTATAGTTTTTTTAATTATCTTGATGTATCATAATTATAAGAATTTATACAAATCAAAACTTCATAAAATAGGGAACAAATGAAATTTTCGAAATCTTTCTACTTAACTTTTTATTAAAATAATCATTTTTAATAGAAAATAGAAAAATTCCATTTTAAATAATAGACATGCAACAATATCTTTTAATCTTATAATTTTTTTTTTTTAATTTACAAATTAAATTAAGAAACACTGCGATTACTTGTAAATAACAGGCTTGTTACTCAAGTTATGTTGGTAACTAGATAACACACTATAAGCAATACAGAACAAAACGGGTAACGTACCACCTAAATGCGTCAACAGGTCCCCTGGGTCAGACTGATCTCCAATGATCGTTTAATTCCCTTGTTAACTAGATCCCTAATATAGTTTTTAGATAGAAATTTAGTTGTTGCGATGGTGGCAGAAAATTAAAAATAATTAATATTAGCTTCGATGCGAAGCGGAGAAGGTATTAATTTTACCATGATGTTTTTTTTTTTTTTATGTCTGTTGCCACTTTTTCTCAGCTCTCACTGGACCGATTTCTTTCAACAATACGTCAAAAGATCACAAATCGTATTTAGTTGAAGACACTACCCTTAAAAATTGAAAAATTTTCCCTCGTTCCCCGCAAATAGGGGAAACCTCCAAAAAAATTACAAATTTAAAAATCGCTAATTTTCGAAATTTTTTTTACTTAAAATTGCCATAACTTTTTCAAAAATTTTACTATACTGTTTTATAAAACCGTTATTGTATAAAATTGTACAATGTAGCTAATTATTGCATTTAATTTAAGTTTATTCTTGTAACATTTAGTACAGTGTTAGAATGACAGAATTATGAGAAAAATAAGTTATAAAACGTATTCTCTTTTTTAACATTAATATTTGGCACAATTTTCTAATGTAAATAAATATTCTTAAAACATTTGGTTTTGGCAAGAAAAAAAGGAACCTAATTAAATTTTAATTGGAGTCCCTGCAACTAGTTGTATTATTGTTTACAAAATAAATATGAGAAAATTGTATCAATATTAATAAAACTATTATAATCATAACACCTCGCATAGTATGAAAATTTGGGAAAAGGTAATAGATAAGAAAATAAGAGTTGAGACATCTGTATCTAAAAATGTAAAAAATAAAATCGAGAATTTTCAAAAATAGCGTTCGGTAGCCATTTTCACCGTGAAGACAAAATAAAGTCCAAAATTTTTTTTTTTTCCATAATAAAGTACATTACATTAACATTAATTTAAGATATATATAAAAGTGTCAGACTTTCCGGAACACTTTCAAAAGTTAAGTTGAAAAAGTTAATTTTTTGTGAAAAAGTGGTCATTTTAAATCCCCCCCTGTGGGCAGGTAAAGGGTCAGATATAAAAAAAATATATACCAAATGATAGGTAAAGACATCATGCATCTATAAAAAAAAAATTATATTGATTTGGTTATTTTTAAAAAAATTATGGCAATTTTAAGTAAAAAAAATTGAAAAAATTGAAAAAATTAGCGATTTTTAAATTCGTAATTTTTTTGGAGGTTTCCCTACGAGGGAATTTTTTTTCAATTTTTGAGGGTAATGTCTTCGACTAGATACGATTTGTGATCTTTTGACGTATCATTGAAAGAAATCGGTTCGGTAAGTGCTGAGAAAAAGTGGTAACAGACACACAAAAAAAAAATAAACACATCTTAGTAAAACCAATACCTTCTCAGCTTTGCATCGAAGCTAAAAACTTGATTATCGATAATGTCGGAGTTCTTACCTAGTTTTATTTATTATTAAATATTGGAGTAAAATCCATCGTGGTTATGGTTGCCTCTGGTATCAGATGGTCGGACTACCAGATGTTTGGAATAATTATTTTGTCAAAAGTCGTATCACAGAATAAACAGAATGAACACTGATAAAAAATGTACATGGTCAATAAAGGGAGGTAATTAGAATCAGTCCGCCATTTTTATGTAGGTAAATCAGTATGACCAGTTTTAACACTAAAATAATTTTACAATGATTGTGTTTACATTTTTCAAAATTTAAAATAACAATTTTAATTACAGTATTCATGTTTTTTTAATTTTTCAACGTGTATAAAACTACATAAATATTTAAGTATTTAATATAATAATACGATACTTCAATTTAATAAAATAAAAACACAATAAATAACTATTCGTGTTCAATTGAATTATATATTTTTTAATTATTTCATAAAAAAACTTCTTAAGTTTTTCATTAATTTTAAATGAATTGTTTTATAAATTCATCACTGTAATATTAATACTTTCTCAGCTTTGCATCAAACCTAAAAACAAAAAAGAATCAATTAACATAATAATGAAGTTTCAAAATCAACATACATAATCATCACATAAGTTATACAATAATTATACAATTAATAAATTAAAAAATAATAAAAACTTATGGTCGTAATATGTAAATGTCGTAGCATTATCAGTTCGTGTCAAAGGTGTTTTTCAATTTATAATAGTTATCTAACTAAACTTAATTGAAATACACTTGTGCTGTTATCTAGAGGTTTATTTATTATTCGCATTATCAATATTTGAAATTGAAGCTAAATAAATTATTTAAATAGAAACATTATTATTGTAAATATAAATGGTCGTTAAAGAAATTTTATAATGTATTTAAATATTTATAAGCTAAGTAAAGTTCAATTTTCAGGCAAGTACTTTATTGTATAATTTATATTTAAATTTTGGTCTTAATAATTATACTTTTTAAAGATAAATATGTAAATTTACTATTATTTCTAAAAGATATTTTTTTGTGCAGCTATTCAGTTATGTAGATTCTCTACTAAAGTAATTTCAAATGAGCAACATCTATCAAATGATACTAATTCTGAAAAAATATTGAAACCTGAGAGGAAATCAGTTGTTCCAGCTAATTCCAGATATATTTATCCAGAATTTTTACCGGATCCTAAAATGCAGTGGAGAAATTCATTACGAGAAAAACTAGAACGTATGGATATGATTCAGAGAAGGAAACATATTGATATTCCTGAGTTTTTTGTAGGCATGTATTTTGTATATCTTATAAAAATTACAAGGTGGCTTGTATAGTTTGGTGGAAAATACATTATGCTTTAATGTGCAGGTGTTAAAATATGATTCTTTACTACTGAATTGTATAAGTTTTACAATAATCTCCAATACATCAGTTAAATTTTCTAGTTGTGAGAATGCTAAAAAATATATATATATATATATATATAATAATAATTCAATTATGTGAATTCAATTGCTGTTTTAGGTAGTATTATGGCTGTTACTTCATCTAATCTACATGCTCCAAACAAATCAACACGGTTTGTTGGAATTTGTATTCAACGTTTGGGATGTGGCTTAAGAGCAAATTTTACTCTTAGAAATATTGTAAAACATGTAGGTTAGTATAATAAACAGTAACAAATAGTTTTTTTTTTTACAAAATATCTCAATTTTTTTTTAATTAACTAGGAACTGAAATGAAATTTCAATTATATGATCCAACTGTACAGAAAATAGAAGTATTGCGTTTAGAAAAACGTTTAGATGATGAATTATTATATTTAAGAGATGCCCCTAATGAGTATAGCTCATATGATGAAAACATGGAAGCTGAATTTTTGCCTGAAGGCTCTCCTGTTCCAATCAATACAACATTGGTAATACAAACAATACAGATTTAGTAATTAACATATACATTTATACAATTATATATGGTACAACTACATTATTATTAAGGTTAAATTGAAACCTAGACCTTGGCGTGCTAGATGGGAAAGAAAAGGTATGAAAGGATTAGCTGATTTAGAATTAGAAGAACGTTTTTATAATAGAGCTGAAGAATTAGCTACACCTTGGGAAAAATATGATTTAATGAAACAATATAGGTAATTATTATTGCATAGTTTCCAAATATTATATGATAATAAAAATAATATAAAAATTTTATTATATTTGTAGAAAAACTATACCCGAAGAAGAACAAAAAGAAATATTTGCAGAAGTATATTCTGAACTTCATGAAGTGGAAGTTACGCGAAAGAAATTAAAAAGAAAGCGAGTGTTTGTCAAACCTAATAAAACAATCTAATATTGTTGTAGAAACTATTTTCTATATAATAAATTTTATTCAATTTTTATAGCATAAAACAAATTTTGTATTACTTGTGCCTTACATTATTCTACATGATTCATAACTTTAAAGTTAAATTACATTTAGTTTTTTTTGACATCAGTATTTTACAATTGAAAGGTATAATTTTAATACTTAACTATATATTAGGCATTTCTATTTGTATGGTAGGTATTAGATATTTTTAATCATCAGATATTGGTGATCACTACAAACTGTTAAAATAATGATTTTCTGTCTAAAAAACAAAATATAAATTTTGAAAAATTGGAGAAATACAATTATCACATTGGACTTCTAGCAATATATCTAGATTGTAAACAAATTTAGATAATTAGATCTTTAAAACATTGTACTTTTAATAAGGGTAGTGTAAAACACAAAACTTGCTTACTAACTTTCATAATACTTAGAACATAGGTTAAATGTTTAATTTAATCTGAGAATCATCGTAAGAAAAATAATGGCTTAATTACTGGCATAATTAAAGTAATATATTATATCCACATCCTTATGACAAAAATAATTTTGTGAAAAAAATACCATTTTATATTTTTGATCAAAACTTTAATTATATATTTAACCACTGAGCTAAATAAAAATTACTTAACTGTGATATTTACTTTTCTTTAAACACAATTTGTAGTTTACAATATGTCACATCAGAAAGTTGAAGTTAAATTAAATTATGTTATTAATATTAAATCAATTTTTGTGATGGAAATACTCTACTTTAATCAATGCTACCTTGTTTAATTTTTTATAAAACTTAAAAAAAGTATATGTTACAAAACCTAAAAAAATTATTAAATTTAATTATTAACTACTTTTTTGATAAATAAAAATAATGAAATACCTATATTTTTATTGGGCATGATTTTTTTACTAAAACAAAATTATGGTTTTCATGGTTCAATAACAAATATTGATGTTGTAAGTTATATTGGTTTTACTAANTTACTAAAACAAAATTATGGTTTTCATGGTTCAATAACAAATATTGATGTAAGTTATATTGGTTTTACTATAAAACTATTGGTTAGATATTAAATATATTATTTTTGTTTACATAATAATCAGAAATATAAATATTAGTTATACGACATTTTTGTCAATTTTATTTAATAAACTTACAGAAACAAAAACTACCTTAACGTGCTATTGTTAAATAAATTCATACAAAATAAACACACATAGCATAATTTAATTAAAAGTTATTAAATTATAAAATTAACTGAATTGAATAAATCACATCATTTTATTACAATTCTATTGAGTTCAATTAATAGATATGAAAATAAATATGTTTTCTAAGATAAGCCAAAACACCAGAATTTATAATGGATTACGAATTATGAAAAATACATTTTATTCAACATCTTAAGTAAAAAAACATTAGTTTCATAGTGTATGTGACAACTAACACAATATCACTTATTAGGTATATATATATATTATGTATAATTATATTTTAGCTATTTTAATTTTGAAAATTCATTTCTGATTTTATTGACGCATCACCTGCAATAAATAAATTATACATTATTCTAACAGTTTTTTAAAGTTTTATTAGTAAACTATTAATATTTTTTGTTATTTTATTTTAAGAACTTTTTCAAAATTATCCTTAGGTGTGAACACAAATAAAATTGTTATGTTTTAATACAATATTAGTTATAAAAGTAAATATAAAATAAAATAGTTTAATAAAATAATACAAGTTTTATTTAATATTGACATACAAAGATTTTTTAATATTTTAATAGCATCAGTACAAAGTGATAATGTTTGACTATATATCTAGGATATATTTTATGTAAACATTTCTATTCATATTATTTTTAATAAATCATATTTTATAAACTTACATCTTAATATTGAAAATCTTTTGGTAGATTGTATTTAACATAAGGTACTTCTACATCGTCACCTTCTAAGTTATTACAACATATTTCAAAAACCAATGATTTGACATGAGGCTCAATTTTTTTTTTTGAAACATTACGTACAATTTCAGACATTTTTATATTGATTCGTTCTTCTCTCTTAGCATTAGGCATAAAAAATGAATAAAGCATACAAACTCCTTGAGACAGCATAGTAATTTCTAATGAATGTTTCTCTTTGAAATAATTTAAAAATTCATTTAATGTTAATTCACCTTCTACTTCAAAACGATCCCATAATGTCCATTCAATATCATAATACTTAAACTTGGGTGCAAGCAAAGGCTCTGAAAAGCCAAAGAAAGGTAATGCTAAATTAACAAAACCATTTTTGTATTTTTCAGGTTCTTTAAAGCCCATAGCTAACTTAATTAATTCTTGACATACAAGTCCTGCAACTACTGAAGTTGTTGTAGCAATTGCAGGAATAATTTTACCAGCAATCAATTTACTTTTATGGCGATCAGCAGGTTGTATTTCATAATTTGTTGCTCTTAAATTAGATGCAGCTACAATATAATCAATGTGTAGATTTTTATCATCATCTTTTTCAAATTCTAAAGGCACTATTTTCAAATCTGTAAGATCATTAGCTGGTGGTAAATCTTTTAGTATTTTATTAAGTTTACTCGAATCATAATTTGATGAACCATTAGTAATTTGTGAATCATTTTCTGCAATCCTCAAACCGGATTTCGGTACAAATTCAGGAACTTTCACTGAACTTACAACATTAGAAATATAAGCTCGATCCCTAACTTGTTGTATGTTATAAGTTTGTGCTCTTAAATTTGCTGCTGCAAAAATGTAATCCAGGTGTAAAATATTGTTTACATCAAACAAAATAGGCTTAGGACACCTTTTTGGTCCTGACCAAAATGGTTGCCCGCTTGATGTCATTTGATCAGGTGGAAAGTTAAATAAAAGCTGCTTTATTTGATTTGTAAACTGTTCTTCAAAATGTAATCTAGCCCATGCAATACAATCATCTAAGTTATTTGGACGTTCAACTATAGAAGATCGAGTACTTTCCATAATTTCTACTGGTTGAAGTCCTGGTAAACGATTAGTGCGTTCGACAAAAGTAGCTGGGTTCTCTAAGTATTGTTTTACATTCTCAGGTGATTGTTTAAATAAACCCTCAAACATATCTCTTGCCCACTGTAATGTGTGTTCAATAGCATTAGGAAAATTTTTTAGGGTACAAATTGGTATACTTTTTTCTGGTGGATCCTGAGAAGTACTATAAGATTCAGTTAAATTAGGTATAACAACTTGAGTATTACCTTTTGTACCCAAAGTTCCAGATTCTAGAAGAGGTTTTTTGTAAAATACACAACGTCTATCCATGTATATGCGTGCATCAACATTATCTAAAGCATTCGCAACTCCATCTAAGCTTTCAAAAAATGTATCATTATAAGTTGATTCTGTCTCTGGACATACTCTATTAGTTTGAGGTTCAACCTTCACATCAGGATTCATACATTTGATAGCTTCAGCTGCAATTTTAGATTTTGACTTCTGAACATGTTGTTCTCTAAATAAGAACTGTCTATTTAAATTTGATTTTTCTATTAAATCCATATCTGTGACATAGATTTTTCCATTTCCACATCCCACACCCATAATAGCAAAGTTTTTTAATAACTCACAACCAATAGCACCAGAACCAACAACAAAGTACCTTAAGTTACCAAGATTTGTTTGAAATTTTTGACCAAAAACAGCAACTTGTCCATCATATCTATTTCCAGAAGGTTTTGCATCTACTTCAGAAACATTTTCAGGTAAAGTTTCAACTGCATCAAAATATAACCATTGAAAAATTGGGTTGAATTTTCCAGAGCACGATTTCATTACTTCTTGAGCTACAATACCACCAATAAAAGACGTCATAGGATTTATATTTCCAGCACAAACTTTGGAAAATGTCTTTAAAAGTTCAACATCAATTTTCATGGAATTTGTATTTTTTGCTACTTCTTTTTTACTTACTGGTACTTCACTTTCAGGTACTACATTTTCTGCAACTATACTTTCTGCTACTTCGATAAATTTATTTGCATCTTCAACACTCCAAGGAATTGGTAAGCGATTGTATTTATTTCTGAATTGATGGAGTGTATTAAAAGCCAAATGTAATTGTGAAGGTCTATCAAACTTCCCAAAATCAGATATTAAATACTCAGGATCATTTAAAGAATTTTCTAAAGATTTAAAAGACAATTTTTTTGGCATTTTAACTTGTGTAGCAATACCACCTTTCACATAATCAGAGAAGGATGTAGTATCACCTATACTAAAAGTGTATGGCCCAAGACTAGTTATTCTTTTTGGTATACACCCATTTAAATCAGCCATACCCTGTACTTCATGGAACGTAACATAATCTCCATCTTCTAAACCATGGCGTGTTTCATCTAAACATGTAACAACACCTTGTTTATCTTTAGTTATACCTGCAACCATAACAGAGATTGGATTTTCACCAGTTGTGTCTGTTACAATAAATTCCTCACCAAAATCACAAAATACTTGAGAAAATACACCTCTAGTATCAGCAATAATTAAAGCAATATTATTTGCATGTGTTACTTTTGATATGCGTAGTTGTTCATCTAAAGTTGTTTCAGTTAAAACAACAACTTTGAACTTTTTAATATAATCTTCTGTTAATTCACATGTATACGATTCAACTGAGACATAAGAATTAAGCTCAGCCAATTTAGGACAACTAATAACAGCTCTATTTTTACCAATATCATTTTTACTCAAATAAAATTGAGAGGATAAATCACTATATGTACACAGAGTAGTATCATGAAGTGTTACTGATTTCACACCTCCTAGTATAATATTTTTAGCAATCTCGACACCAAGACCACCGAGACCACTCATTAATACGTCAGAAGTAGCCATTTTTCGCATGGCATCATGTCCCAGCACATAAAGTTGACGAGAGTATAAACCCTCGTCGATTTCTCCAAGACCATTCTTAGTTGACATCATTACCTGAGTTTTTGGTACTTCTGAAGACACTGTAGCAGATTCACCGGAAGCCAGTTTACGCTTCTTAGCCGGCAATTCACAGGAGGTGTCTAGTACTTCAGCACCAGACATTGGACAATAAAAAGCCGAATCGTGGAGTGCACGGCTTAGAACGGTTTAAACAATAACAGTGCCAAAACAAAAATTATCAGGTTAATTTTTTTTATAAAATAATTAATTGTATAAAAATGTGTAAAAAAATACACTAATGAATAAATGCGGTATAAAGGTAAGACGATATTTAATAAGCTAATCGGGAAGCTTAAAGAATAATGTGTCTAATCATGACTTGCACGACAGAGACTAACTATAAAAAACGACCAATGGCGAAGCAGGAAACTGTTACAGAGCGACCGGCTTTATCTCTTTTAACGATTACGCGTCACCGGTATACAAAGAGAGTACGGGTATACGATACACGTTGAACTAAGGTTCTTTTTATGAGTGTATGCGCATCCGCCATTTTAGTTGAAAGATATATGTTGTTATTTATCAACATAAAATAGTACCGTCAATAATTGAATTTATTTGGCTATAAATTTTTTTTAATTTTTCATTTGATTTTGAAAAATATCGTGATGTGATTAATTTATTTGTTAGGTTCAGTTAGAGTGGAATCAATGCCAAAGAAAAAGATTACATGGTTATGTCAATCTGAAAAAGAATGCTGTTCTTACTATTTTTGATGTGTTAAATGTATCAAGAAAGCTTAAAACAGAAAGAATCTGAAAATGTAAAGTCAGCACTATAATTAAAATGTATTTGAAAATTGTGTATACTTTATCTTTTAACACGGTAAAATATTAAATTTTTTTAGATACTTTATTATACATCAATATCTGGAAATTAAATTAATAATTCAAATCATAATATGAAGTCTATTCCCATGAATTTATTGAGCCATTACAACCAGTAAGTGTAAATCAATTATCAGGTTTAAAGGATATAATATTCGCCTTGTTGACTATAATATATCAAATTTAAAGAACTTTTTATTTTAAATTTCAATATTTTTTTTATGATTTATTAGATTTTATATTCCATTTGTTGTTTGAAAATTATTTAAAAAAACTGAGGGTATCATATAAACATTAAGCTTTTTTCATATATATATAGTGTTTAGTAAGTATGGAAACATATCAATTGTTATAAACAATGAGAACAAAAGAAACATGTTTCCTTACTTACTGAACACTATATATACATGTATTTATATAATTAAAAATGTATAATATGTAATATTGTTTTTTGGAGGTACAATATTTTAATTTTCAATTATAATTTCAACAATTTTAATACTTGAAATTTATTTTTAAAACATTAAAGTACTATAAAATATAGTAATTTATTAAAATTTTAATTTACAGTCGTAACAAAAAGAAAATAAATATTTAAAGAGATGAAATAAGAAGTTTGTGAAGTATTAACAACAGTACAATAAAACTTAAAAAATAACTTGAAGATAAAGTTACTAAATAAATGTTTGTGCCTTATCAACATTAATGGTCTAAATAAATTATTTTAAAGTCACTAAAGCTAAGGTTCAGTTTTGGTGCGAGTTGGTATAATTATTTCCATAAAAAAAATTCCTATATTTCCTTTTATACAGCACATAAGATCGTAAATTACTATAATATCTGCTACAAACAGGTATTTACAACTACATGATGGATCCTCTTAAAAGGTTCAGTGTATGTATAGTCTTCATAGTTGCCACAAATCTGTAAAACCTCGAAAAAAGTTTTTTAAATTATAATTATTGTCAGTTAGGTCTGAGACACTGTATATTTACAACTCTAGCCTAAGAATAATATAGATTAAGATTTGTTTTGTAAAATTATACCCTGCCTTTTTCCAAAATTCCAATTGATAAGTAAACAACAATAAAAATAAGAGGAAGGTTGATGAAATCAAATAAATTCTGTAGATGAAATGATGTTTTCCAGTCAGCAAGATTATAACAAAATTAAAAAAAATTTTTAGGCAGCATTATAATTCATAGCAATCATATTACTGAAGTTCTAGAATAAGGAGTAAATAATAACTATATATATATATATATATATGTGTGTAATTGCTCGTGAAATGACTGATAAAACAACTAATCAAAAAGATGTGAAGAAGATAATTGCAAATAGTATTTTATTTGTTGAAATTTGCGGTCTAACTGTAGTATCATTAATATCAGATGTGGGTTTTTATGATAGACGTCAATGGTCTCTTTTGGAAGTGACAATAAGACCAAATGATAATAGAGAAAATAAATTTCAGTTCAATAATCATAGTATTTTTTTAATACCAGATATTTGTCAATTGCTTAAGAACTTGTAAAGTGCAATATTTCGAACATGACTCATATATCTGAAAATTTGCAAGAATTTAAAAGACTAACTTTTGTTAAGAGTTAACATTAATGATTTTTAGAATATGAAAGTATTTGCAGGATAGCCTTACACTTGCTTCATCTCTTAAGAAATAATAACCTCAATTCCTCAAATTTTGATAAAATAAATGTTGAGCTGCAATAAGATTTTCTTCATTCAAAACTTCTGCAGCTTTAATATTGGTCATAAAATTACAACTAGTTTACTTAGAAACCTTTACCACTGCTTGGTTCATAAAACTGATATATAGGTGTTTTTAGTCGATGAATTTGAGAATTAGAAAAATAAGTATTATTTAATGCAATATCAAAGCTAAAAAAAATGTATTAGATATTAGTATGTTTGAAGGAAATATTTATTAGACAATAGTTGGAAGTTGCTATTAAATTGTAGTATAATCTTATTCTCCTTATCTGTAATAAATATTACAAATAATAGGGTGAAGTATGATTTTGTATTGACTCACAGATTCAACAAAGATGCCTTAGAAAATTTTTTAACAAGAACAACCTAGAAGAGGAACATTTTATCCTTGCATGTCTAAGAACTCAAAGTGTCATAAAAATTTGTCAATTTTTTTCAGATTTAAAAAAATTTTATACTGTTCAGATATTTTCCTTATTGATTTTTTCAGAAAGTTAATTCTCTTGTCCCTTATTATTCTAACTCCTAAAATAAATTGTTTCATGGATACTTATAGTTTATATAAATTAAAAAAATAAAATCTATATAATCAGTTCATTTTTTTTTTTTTACAGTAGTAGCTATTTTATATAATTTTTTTAAAGTCTTTATGTAAAGAATGTAAAATGTTTTTTAAAGAAAACTCATTGTGTGATGATTAATGTAATTTTAATTTTTATGTTAAAATTAACATAAATGTTAAATTAAACAGTTACATAAAAGTGGCTTAAAATATCCCATTTCATTTGTTTTCAATTAATGTTATTTATGAGAAATTTTTAAATTATATTATATAAATTAATTCAAAAGTAATAGTTCGTAAAATATGTTTGGATGTGAAGATACCATTCTCCTCATATTGTAATATTAAAAAGTTTATAGAAAATTATTATTTTACCACAGTCAGCTTAAGCTGTGCAGTCATTTATTGAATTTGATAAATGAAAGTCACAAGATTTCACTTTATTTTTTATATTATTTCGTGAGCTTTAAAATTAAAAAGGCATTTAACTTGTTAGTTAATAAATATGGACATTTAAGTAATTTGCTTTGTTGACAACATTTAAATAATATGTTTAGATTATTTAATAATACGGTAAGGTGGCAGATGAAAAATTAGCCCAAAATAATATACAAGAAACTGTTAATAAGTGTATCACAATACTATCATTCTTTCAAATTCACTAATAACTAATGACTTGTAATAAAATAAATATACATTAAAATTATATATGATTAAAAATATTTTAATTAATATGATAAATATTCAATAATACTAACAGTGTATAAAAATTCAAAATAAAATAATATACCTAAGTGGAAGATCATATATCTCTTTATTTAGATCTTTAGTCTTGATCAGTTTTCAGACATATAGTAAATTAACTATGATAACAATGAAATGATAACCAAACAAAATGCCAACTATCTTTTGGCGGTTTATTAGCAAATTTATTCAGAATTCTGTTGTTCCAAGTTTACAATTAAGATTAAAAACAAATTCAAAAATGACTCAAAGAACATTAATGTAGGTTTAAAAATGTTATATATTCAAGCATATTATATTAATTAAATTTATGTTTAGGTCGTACTTCAGCTCAAAAAATAGCATTGAAAACATCAAACCTGTAACAAATAACAAATTAGTTGAAACTTCTCCCGAGTGAGTTAAATTATTTGAAATTATAGTTCATTGTTTGTTTGCTTTAATATTAATGTAATCCTAAAACATCATTTTGATATTTTCTGATGGTATAAAAATATAGACATTAAATTATTTTTTGTTGGTCGTGAAATAAAATTTTATATATTTAACTATTAAAATAAAATATTAAACAAAAACTTTAAAGAATTCGTATTATAAGTTTTAATTATATTACCAAAGAATAATAATTATTATTTTACATATTTTAAGGGAACTTGAAGTATCAAAAAGTAGTCCTATTAAAACTTATGGTAAACGAAAAAAAAATTCTCATTTATTTAGTGACAGTAGTGATGAAGAATCTAACTACAAGTATGTTAAACAATTTTATTTTCAATTATCTTAAAATTTTTTGAAAATAAATTAAATTAATAAATAAAATTCTTCAACATTTGTTTTGTAATTAGTAAAAAAACATGTGAAAATAATTCACCCAGTAAAGAAAAATCACCTATCAAAGAACAGTTATATTCAACAAATAAAGATAACAATAAATCAACGGATAAAAATAAAGAGTTGGATCAATCAAATATCAATTCTAAGATAAATGAAACTCCCGAAATGAAACTATTACAAAATTCTACAAACAATATAGTCAGTGATCATAGTATGTCAACTGAAATGTATTATGATCCTACTAAAAAAAGTTATCATCCTATCAATGATGCATTTTGGAGTCAAAATCAAGAGTAAGTTCTAGATTTTTTTTAGAGTATTAGTTAATTTTTCCTAAAATCATAATTCAAGTAAGTCAATTTCAATTGTTTTCTCATTAAAATATAATTACTGTTTAACATTATTCGAATTTAAACTTTTATAATCATAATTTGACTAAATTATTAAGATCTTTATAGTTTGTTAGTTTATTCAAATTCTAATTTATTATACTTTTAGAACTCCATACTGTGCATTGACAAAAACATTACTATGTATAGAAGAAGTTAGTGCTAGACTGAAAATAATTGAAATACTTTCAAATTATTTTCGGTCAGTTATTGTTTTAAGTCCTAAAGATTTATTACCAAGTGTATATCTGTGCTTAAACAAAGTTGCACCTGATTATACAGGTTTAGAGTTGGGCATTGCAGAAACAACATTAATGAAAGTAAGTGTAAAACTATTCCTTTAAATAAATTAATAATTACTTAAAATAAAAGAAAGTTGGAAATACTTTGTTTTCTCATTAAGAATTTTTTTCTAATCTTTACATATAAACTTTTTTTTAGGCAATTGTTCAAACAACAGGAAGAAGTATGGCTCAAGTTAAAAGTGATGTTAACAAAACAGGTGATTTAGGTATTGTTGCAGAAAAAAGTAAAAGTAATCAAAGAACCATGTTTAAACCTTCTCGATTAACTGTTAAAGGAGTGTTTGAAAAATTAAAAGAAATATCAGAAATGACTGGTCATGCTGTATGCTATATTAATTTTATGTTTGTGGTGTTTATTTTTGTATTTGTTTTATTTTATTTTAAGGTGTTGGCCAAAAAAGTAGATAAAATTCAATCTATGTTTATTGCTTGTCAAGATTCTGAAGCGAGATTTTTGATGCGATCATTAGCTGGTAAACTTAGAATTGGTCTTGCTGAACAATCAGTATTACAAGTGAGATTCATACTTTATTGAAAAGCTTTAAATAATGATAATACTAATTATATTGTATGCATACATAATCTGAATATAAAACAATTTTATTACTAGGCACTGGCTTTAGCTTGTACATTAACACCACCATCTCTAAATTATCCACCTGAAATAATTAATATTTCTAAAGAAATGAATGAAGAAAAATTTAAAAAACTTTATGATGAAAAATCTCTAATTTTAAAAACTACCTATTGGTATGAATATATTTATGCATATACCTTTAGTTTAATTTGTAATAATATTTTTATCTGATTTTGATCTAGTGAAAGTCCAAATTTAGATGCTATCATACCAATTATTCTTGAGAAAGGTGTTGATGCTCTGCCAGAAAATTGTAAACTAACTCCTGGAGTGCCATTGAAACCTATGTTGGCACATCCTACAAAAGGAGTTCATGAAGTTCTTGATAGATTTGATGGATTAAAATTCACATGTGAATGGAAATATGATGGTGAAAGAGCTCAGGTTATTATGATATTTTTATCTCATTCCTTATTTTATGAAATAGTGCAAACTAAATTTTGACTTGTTTCAGATTCATTTAACAGAAGATGGAAACACTTATATTTTTAGTCGTAATCAAGAAAATAATACTTCTAAGTACCCAGATATTCTAAATCGTTTAAATTTGGTTAAAGGACCTAATGTTCAGTCTTTTGTGATGGATTCTGAAGCTGTGGCATGGGATAAAGAGAAAAAAAAAATTATGCCTTTCCAGATTTTAAGTACACGAAAAAGAAAAGCATGTTTTCAATGAACTTATTATGAACTTATAACTTATTATAACTTATTATGAACTTTTAATGAGTGCTAATAATATTTATTATTTTTTTAGAATGCCAATGAAGAAGATATCAAAGTTCAAGTTTGTGTATTCATGTTTGATTTACTTTATTTAAATGGTGAACCTTTGGTTAAACGTCCATTTTGGGAGCGTAGAAAGTTATTAAAAGAAAATTTTATTGAGGTAGAAGAGCAATTTTTATTTGCTACTTCCTTAGATACAATAACTATGGAAGAAGTTCAAGACTTTTTGGAAGAATCTATTAAAGGTTAGTATATTAAAAAATTAATTAATAATAAATATTTTTCCTTGTTTCAAACATTTAATTAAAAATAAATTATCTAATGCAATTTTATAAAAAAAAAAAATTAATTTGAGAATAATTTAATTTTTCAAACATGATTCCTCAAAAAGAATTTTAAAAATAACACTAGTCTAAAAAATAAAACTTCTTTTAATGATCATAGATAAAAATATACTTTTCTAAATAATTTTTTGAGCGTTTTCAAATCTATAATTGTAATTTTTCTGTCATCTGTAGTTTTTACATTATTACTTATTTGTAAAAATGATTAATTACAAATAAAAAATATAACATAGTAGGGTTGTGACACAGTAAAGACATTGTTGAAACTATTATAGATTTTTTCAATTATTATGAAAAAATATCACATATAAAAATTAAAAAAACGGTACCACAGTTGGGTCGCGGTACAATGTGGAAGTGGCATAGTTGGGACAAGTATAGATGATATATGATAGTTATTAAAATCATTATTATAAAAAATGCTTCAATACAAGTCTGTAAGTGTTGTTTAATTTTAAGAAAAAATTTTAGATTCCAAAAGCAATATTAACTTCCATATCCATTATTATATCCTAATTGAAAGTTTTATGATTTCTAAAAATTTAAAATTTTAAAATACTATTTTTTGAGGAATTTTTCCCATTTAGGAGAAAGAAAAATTATACAAATTTTCAAAAAAATGCCTTCAACTAGATGTGATTTGTGATCTTTTAATATATCATTGAAAAAAAAGTGGTGACAGACGCAAAAAAAAAAATATATAAACACACTGTGATAAAATTTATACCTTCTCAGCTTAACATCAAAAATTAATTTAAATAAAAAAAATTTAAATATTAAAAAATAAAAATTACCATTTTGGTAACTTGATGTTTTTTTTTTTAAACTTACGTTTTTATGCTTAAATTTTCCTATTATATTTTTCAACATGTTTAATATTTATATTAGTATTTATTTATGATATATTAAATTATTAGGAAATTGTGAAGGACTTATGGTGAAGACATTAGAAGAAGATGCAACATATGAAATTGCCAAACGATCACGCAATTGGTTAAAATTAAAAAAAGATTACCTAGATGGTGTAGGTGACACTATTGATGTAGTTGTTCTTGGTGGATATTTAGGTCGTGGTAAACGTACTGGAACATATGGAGGCTTTTTATTAGCATGTTATGATCCAGAGAGTGAAGAATATCAAAGTATTTGTAAGGTAAGAACAAAATTAATGTTAAAGTATCAAAGTATAAAAAAAAAACAATTTATATTGTATAATATGGGTTGAACAATTTGTCATGGATATTTTATGAGCTGTCAACTTGTGAATACTCAAAATGAATAAGTGGTAAAAATGGATATAATATTATATAGTATTAAACTAGTGGTTAAGTTTAATTAATTGTACCAGAAATATGGAGCATTCCAAATTTCTTCTTGTTATTTTATTAGTAATCAATTTTATCATACCATTTACGTACAATTTTATAACAGCTTAACAAAATGTGGGTTATAACATGTTAAGAAAATATTTTTTATTGTTTCTGATGTTTTTTGACACTAATTCAGAATTTGTCCTAAGTTTTTAATATTTCAATTAATATTTTAGCCAGAACTTGCGTATTTGTAAAATTACAGATTTTTTATATAAAATGTTAATTAAAAATAAAAACTTTTTCATTACCGCTTAATTATATTTATAGTATCACAATGACAATTTGTGCTAATTTTGAAATAATTTTTAAAGTATCATTTTTGATATGGACTTTTAAAGTTGAGTTATTAAATTATTAAAAAGTAAAGTTGAACTGCTCTTTATAACTTTTTTTTCTATTCATGTTTTTACTATTTATTATATAGAGAGAAAATTTTATGTAGATTCAAAAATACTAAATATTGTTAATTACATCTCTAATAATGGCCTTCTACACTTTTTCTTTTGTGAGTAATATTCATATTTTTATTTCCAATTAAAGTCTATACAGTAAATCATCATAGCTTCGTTCCAATTTCCATAGTATTTTTCCATTGAGGCGTTATCCTCATGTATACTATGTTAAAATTGTTATTATAGAAAATAATTCAGCTTGAAAATGATTTCAAAATTTACATATGTTATCTTCATAATATGAGAAATATAATTAAGGGTTAATGAATTTTTTTTTTTTATTTAAAAAAAACGATAATTTTACAAATAATCAAATTCTGACTAAAATATTGGTGGTTGAGAAAAACTAAGAAATCCGTGTCAATATATTATATATTAGAAACAATAAAAAATGTTTCATTAACATTCCATGACTCAAATTTTGTCGAGCTGTGTAATTCACTTTATGTGAATAAATTAAAATATATTTGAACATCTAAACAAACATTTTTTAATATAATTATTTTTTCTTTAAAAAAAAAAAACAATAAGTGTTAATTGTTTTTCTTATACTCAGATTGGTACGGGGTTTACTGATGAAGATCTTCAAAATCATACTGAATTCTTTAAAGAACATGTAATTGAAAGACCAAGAAGTTATTATCGCTATGATCAAAGTCATGAACCAGATCATTGGTTTGAAACTATTCAAGTTTGGGAAATAAAATGTGCTGACTTATCCTTAAGTCCTGTCCATAGAGCTGCATTAGGCATTGTTGATCCAGAAAAAGGAATTTCTTTAAGATTTCCGAGGTTTCTTCGTATAAGAGATGACAAGACAATTGAACAGTCGACATCAGCTCAACAAGTATGTATAAACATATTTTATTATTATTATTATTATTTATAATTTATTTTTATAAATACTACTAAATAAAAACAAAAATAAATATTTTCAAGATTATTATTTTAAGAGAATCAATAATAAATCATTTAATCTGTATGTTAAGTATATTCTTATTAATGTATATTAAAAAAAAAATTATGTTATGTGACATAACATAGATTAGATTTGACATAACTTATGTCAATTCTATTCTTAACTTTGCTGTTTTAGTTGCCACATTATATTAATAAATAAAATAAGTATAATTATTTTTTAATATTTGAATATGTTCAAAATTTTCTTAAGTTAAGCTAGAAAAAGTTCATAGAATGCATGATTTAGTGAATAAAGAGGCTGGGGTATGTTTTTTTCAAAAATACAGAAGTTAGATTTACAGAATAAGAGAAGACGTTATCAGGGCAAAATTCAGCTTTGAGCTACTGTTGGCACTTTATGTCTCTGTCTAACTTTTTAAAAACTAAGTTGTAATAAACAAAATTAACTTATCAAAGAAAATAAATTAAATTAAATTTTAGATTGCTGAATTATATTATAGTCAAGTTCAGATTATGAATCAAGGAAGTACAAATACAAACAAAGAAGATTTTTATTAAGTGTAGTTTATTTTTATGAAAATACATAATTTATGTCAAATAAATTATTATTTTAATAATTATATCATGAAACCTATTGTATCATAATTATATTGTAATCCATTATTTAAATTGTGTCTTTTTAACAATAATATATAGTATTTAAAATTAAAACTACAAATTTTTATGTAAAATTTTGTTTTAAATTTATGCTTTTTTTAAAAAATAAAATTTAAGTAATATATTTATTGTGTGATAATTCAAGTTGAGGAACTAAAACATAATTTTGAAGCTTTTAAAAAAAATACTTTTTTGATTTTATGAAGAGTTCTTAAAAAGTTAAAAATTTACATTAATAATAAATACTAACAAAAAGACTACTTCTTTAAAAAGTATCCTATTAAAATAATATGCCATAAAATACTAACTGGTTATGACTTTACATTAAATAAAGCTAAACATCTTATAATGGGCCCTCTTTAAATTTAAACAAAATAAATAAACTTCATTTGTTGATTTAAAGTTCCTTTGTGCAACATGAAAGTTGAAAAAATATTTGATGTTTTTTTTTTTTTTTATATAAAAACTGATATAATTATTAGTGGCCTAAAAATATAATAATATGAGCCACTAAAAGATCACACATCTAAAAATACTGAAATGACGTTACTGCTTCTCTTTATGAAACTTTTGAAATATTACTTTTTTTTTAATTAAAGGTTACGAATTTTAATATGTAATCGTGAATTAATTTTTACAGAAGTGTATTCAGAATTTTATAATGAAGGGAGTGTATACAAATAAAAAAATATAGTGATTTTTTTATTTAATATGTTGGTTTTACATGGCTAATAGAGAGAGTTTGGCCCTTTTAAGCCTCCTAGATTTATGCATACACTGATTTTATAATTAAATAATAAGTTAAATTTGATAATTAACTCATAAAATTAAGTATTTAATAAGCTATCAAAAGTGTAACTTTTACAAATTAAAATAAACTTAAAATACATAATCTATAAAAACAAATAATTTAATAATATAACTCTATATAAAGTACAAGCTAAACTAAATTCATGTACATTATCTAAGTTTAAACTTCAGTTTATTCCATCTATTGACTAGCACAGAGATTAAAAAAATTACATAATATATTTGTTAACTCGTATTTATGATGTCATTGACAAGCTAAAAAAAATTGTCGCACTTTTCATGTCGTGTCAGTATCAATCGTTCTGAATTCATTCCAAATTCGTATAATAAACTATACAGTTCAGCTCGAGAAGTTGCAGATAAATCTCTTTCTCTTCCCAAAATCCATATAATATCTTAGCAAAAATAAATCCGATAATTATGCAATCACAATAAGAGTTCATTGCAGTACACAGATTGTACATTTATGTAGATGAATATCTATGTAATAATTTTTAGGTTATACCCTTCTCATGAGTGATGCACCTACTCATTTAAATACATAGTGGCCATTACAATATCTACGTACTAAATAAAATCGAAATAGTACCCCTAGATTTCATATTTAAATAAATTTTAAATATTATAACAGCAACACATAAAAAAATAAAATTTACTTAAACTTACTTGTAAAAACCTAAATGAATTTCTTTATAATAATTATAATGTTATGATTAATCGGTTGGCTAATATTAAAATAATCATTCAGTATACAACACGTATAACTTTTTATAATTTCTTCATAAAAAAAACGGTGGCCCAGTGTGAGCGTGGCATAGTTGGGATAAGTATAGATGATATCTGATCGTGATTAAAATTATAATCATAAGAAAAGCTTTGTTGTAAATTTGTAAATGATGTTTAATTCTAAAAATTGTTGGATAATTACAAAAGCAATATCAATTCCTATTTCCTTAATAACATCCTGATTAGTGCTTCTTTGATTTAAACATATAATATATTAAAAAATACTAATTTGAGTAATTAAATTTAGTATGACATTGATATTCAATAATTTAATACTGTAGTTTTTTCGGAAAAATATAAAAATAATAAAATATTTATATATTTCTTTACTTTAAACGCGTATAAAAATGTATAATGCTTTATGCAATACTTTTCAATAAAAAACTTTTATTACTTATGAATAAACTAGGCTCCGCCCCAGACCCATTTTCGATATTATTACTAATTAGTAAAAAATTAGTATTTACATAAAAAAAATAAATAAAACAAAAAAAAAATTGTTTTCAAATTATTACTGATTTAAATTTTTAATATGTTAAAAATAATCAGTGCAAAATGACATTTTTAAACTATTAATTAAATTCTATAAAGTTGATTTTAATGAAAGTTTATAATAAAAAAAAGTGGAATTTGTTACCATAACTTTTAGATCAACTTGCAAGTTTGAAATTGATTTCATTAAATAAAAAATTGTATGGGAATTAAAAAAACACATAATAGTAAAATTAATTTCTTATCAGCTTCTCATTGAAGCTAAAAAATATTGAATATATTTAAAATGAGTATAAGAACAGCGATGAATTGCGAAGCGAAAAATTTTATAGCTGGGCCTCTATCTAATATTTCCCGGTCAATGAAAAATCGTCTATATACCTTTGTATAGATCTGATTGAATTACAGCAACCTCTATTACATCGATAAATATTATACTAATTTTGAATTTGTATTATTTCTTTTTAGAATTAATTGACAGGGAATTTTTTTTTTTTACTTTACTACCCATTTAAAAAAATCAAGAACAACACCACACTTTAATAATAATCTTAGCCAAAATGCTTGAAAATATTTCGTACAACGCATGACAAGCAGTACTTGTATATACAGTGTAAATACGACACAATTATTTTTGCTTGACTCACTCTAAGCACATAAAGCATAGTTGGGGATACATTTATGATTTGTTTAAATTAAATCAAAGGACTGGGTATAACAATATCTTTATTCACTAGTAATAGAAGAAATGCAAGTATTATATTTTCATCAGGAACAATATTAAATTACAAACAAAAAATTGTCTTTAAATTATTAGTGATTTTGATTTTTAATATGATAAAAATAATCAGTGCAAAATATTATTTTTAACCTATTTTTGTGGTCCTTTAAAGTTGATTTTTTGAAATTTTATGATAAAAAAAAAATGAATTTATTACCATGAGTTTTATCTCAACTTACAAGTTTGAAATTGACATCATTAAATAGAAAAACCCAGCACAGGGGGGTCGCGGCTCAGTGGTGACGTGGCATAGATGAATCAAGTATAATGATATCTGACAATGATTAAAATCACTATAAAAAAAAAACGCTTCGATGCAAATCTTTAGATAGTGTTTAATTTTAAAAAATTGGTGGATTATTCCAAAAGCTACATGATCTGCTAGTTCATTATTAATATCCTAATTAAGATAAAGTATGTTGAATGAAAAAGGGATTATTAAAAAATATTATTTCTTATAAAAAAATAATGTTGATCCATACACTTTTAAATATGTCATAGCATTATAAAGTTAAAAATGTAAAAAATAAAATCGAGAATTTTCACACAATAATAGCATTGGTAGCCATTTTCACCGTGAAGATAAAATAAAGTCCGAAATTTTTTTTTACTATAATAAAGTATATTACATTAACTTTAATTTAAGATATATATAAAAGTGTCATACCTTCCGGAAAATTTTCAAAAATCAAGTTGAAAAAGTCAATTTTTTGTGAAAAAGTTGTCATTTTGAATCCCCCCCTGTATAAAAAAAATTATATTGATTTGGTTATTTTTAAAAAAGTTATGGCAATTTTAAGTAAAAAAAATTGAAAAAATTCCGAAAATTAGGGATTTTTAAATTTGTAATTTTTTTGGAGGTTTCCCCCATTTACGGGAAACGAGGGAATTTTTTTCAATTTTTAAGGGTAATGTCTTCGACTAGATACGATTTGTGATCTTTTGACGTATCATTGAAAGAAATCGTTTCGGTGAGAGCTGAGAAAAAGTGGTAACAGACAAAAAAAATTAAAAAAAAACACATCATAGTAAAACCAATACCTTCTCAGCTTCGCATCGAAGCTAAAAAATGAAATTGTTAAGATTAATATGCAGTCAGAAAATGTTATAATTTTTATTTATAATAAATTTATCAGAAAAACTCTATTTTTTTTTTTTTGCATTTTTATCGTAAAAGTAGTTCAAGTGAGAGCCGAGAAAATAAATGATAGTCACAAAAAAAATCTATATAGTAAAATAATTTTCTGTTCGTCGCATTCGTCGATCGAAAAAAATAGCAATTTACCTAGTTCAAATTTTAAAGTTAGTTTTCTCGACTAAAAAAAAAAAAGAATTTAAATGAGTTTAACTTTATATGCTATGTCAAATATATTTATATAATATTTATGAAAATTAGTGTATTCCCCTAGTAAGGTATTTTAAAACAAAATAAAATACAAAATCCAGAATTTTAACACAAAATTATTGATCCATACATTATCAAAAAAGTTATGGTAGTTTTAAGAAAATAAATTAAAAAATGTCGAAAATTAGCGATTTTTAAAATTATAATTTTTTGTGAGATTTCCCCCATTTACGGCAAGCAAGGTTTTTTCAATTTTTGAGGGTAATGTCTTCGACTAACTACAATTTATTATCTTTTGACGTATTGTTCATGATATCGGTCAAGTGAGAGCTGAGTTTGAGTGATAACAGACACAAATAAAAACACATCAGAGTAAAATTAATACCTTCTCAGTTTCGCATCGAAGCTAAAAAATTTCAAAGAGAACTATTTTAACTGCAGTTAAAATAACCATAGTAGTTCTCCCATTTTTTTTTCAGGCAAACCCTACTTTTATTAAAAAAATTTTACTGACAATGTCTTACCCGTATGAAAAAGTCCATAACTTGTACATGACCACAATATCGTATAGTTTTTATAGTCTGAGTAAATAACATAGTAAAGACCTGATGTTGGGACCATACGTGATAAAATATTAGGCAACCGGCTGTCGGCTTGGTACTTGAGAACACCATTGTGTTTTGATACAGGCGTCGCTGTTCCAGAAAATACATTAGAATTTCCTGTTCTATAAATTCAAAGACTTAAAATTTAAAATAAAAATATTATTTTATTGAATGAACTACATCCTATTTTTGGTTCCTACGATGACTTTGAAAGATCCATCGGCATTTGAAGTAAAATTGAAAGAAGTACAACTAGAAGCCATTTCTATCATGTAAAATGATTTTTCTACTTCATACCATTGTCCTTCAAACTTTGAAATTAATAATAATTTATTGTTTTTTATTGAACTTTATGATTTAAAACAATAATTTTTAATGCTATTAAAATGATTAATTTACCTCCTTAGTATTAAAATTTTTCATAGTTTCTTTTTTAGGACATCTTCCTAGAATTTGTCCACTATTTAAATTTAAAAAATACATAAATACTAAAATATGACATAACTCTAAAAAATAACTCATTGCGCGTAAGAAATATATTGTTAACTCTTCTCACGTTCTGTACAAAGCATACACTCAACTATTTTTTAATTCATAAGACAAGACTCATACGTGTGTCAATAAAATTAGTAATGGTGTTTTCTGATTTCGTGGAGGTCTTATAATAATAATCATAATAATATTACCAGGTGAACAGGTACAGGTTCTTTACCTACACCTATGTATATGATCTCTCCTGCTGGGAAGTGTGACATACATTTACTCCTACCTTTCTTAAGTCATGAACGAGCATCAAAATCCCCAAAACAGTCTACTTTCGCTAGAACACTTTCCTAACTATACCAGACGCATGATATTATCCAGTTGATCGTAATAATGATGCATGAGTAACATGAGTATCATGAGATAATAATACTATAGATATATTCAAACTTGTAGACCGTTAACGATCGNCAGTTGATCGTAATAATGATGCATGAGTAACATGAGTATCATGAGATAATAATACTATAGATATATTCAAACTTGTAGACCGTGTAGTACAGAATTTTTCAGAATTTCGTAACATTTTTATTGTTTTCTTATGAATTATTCTTTTTATTATTATTAATTTATTAACGCCCTTTCGGGCAAAGAGTGTACATTAGTAATACATGTTTATAAACAATTTACATAATAAGAATGAATAAAACATACAACAGAATACATAGAATATAAAAGATATTAAATTAAAATTAATATATACATATAATATATTTATACAGAATTTAGACTTAAATAACGAAGTTTAGTTTCATTGTCATAATTGAAATCGACATCTATACTATTACATTCTCTTAACATGCGACTTAAAGGCTCGTTGAAACTGTAAGATTGAGAATGAAAAGGAATATTAAATGTAGTCGTGGAACGAGCATTGAAAACGGGAACATGCCAACTTATTTTTCTGAGTATTTGAGGACAACTTATTTTATTATTTAATAATTTATATATAAATGATGTATCATTGAATTTACGTCTGGACGTAAGAGAATTCAAACCTAGTTCATGTTCTAAGTTATCAATCGAAACGTTTAATTTAAACTTAAGTGACAAGTATTTTAAGAAGTTGTGTTGAACATTATTTAAACGTTGAATCAAAATATTTTGGTAAGGGTTCCAAATTATGGATCCGTATTCAATACCTGAACGGACAAGTGCGCAATACAAAGTTTTTAGACAAATAATATTATTAAAATCACAACACTGCCGTCTGACAAATCCCAGCATACGCATGGCTTTTGAATATATAAAATATATGTGTTTATTAAATAAGAGATCATCAGAAAGTATAATACCAAGATCTTTAATAGAAGAAACTAACTTTATTGTATGTCCATCTAAGGTATAATTATAAATTAAAGGGTTTTTACGTCTGGAAAACGATATTACAGCGCATTTATCAATATTAATTTTTAATTTATTTATGGTACACCAATTTGAAAATTTTACAAGATCTGACTGTAGTTTTTCTTGGTCATTAACAGAGTTAATCTTGATATACATTTTCAAGTCATCGGCAAACGGCGAAAATGTACAAAAGTTGAATATATTTTTAACATCGTTTATAAATAACAAGAATAGCAATGGTGACAAGTGTCCTCCTTGCGGGACACCTGAAGATGTAGCGAAAGGAGACGAAATTTTACCTGAAACTATTACTTGTTGTGTCCTTCCAGTTAGATAGGAGCTAAACCAGGAAAGTAACTGACTATTAATACCAAAAATACTAAGCTTTTTAATTAAAATTTTGTGATCAACTGAGTCGAATGCTTTACTAAGGTCTATATAGATGGCGTCTACTTGTCCATGGTTTTCAACGACATTAAGTACCTCTGTATAGTATATTAATAAATTAGTTGAAGTCGATTTTTGAGATCGAAAACCGTGCTGCTCATCTATTAATATTTTATCAAATAATTTAGAAAGTTTGGGTTCTATTAATTTTTCAAAAAGTTTAGATACTGCACTTAATTTAGATATAGGACGATAATTATTCACAGAAGCCCGATTGTTTGATTTAAAAATTGGTAGCACAAAACTTGATTTCCATAAATGTGGGAAAACGCCATCAGATAGAGACTTATTAAAAAGCAAATGTAGGGGATAAGCTAGTGCGTAACGACATTGAAATAAAATGATTGGAGGCAGTTGATCGGGACCATATGTCTTATCTACACTTAGGTTACTAAGACCCTCAAATACCTCTGCTAATGAAATATTTAAAGAAGATAAATTTATATATGAATTTTGGTTTATGTTAGTTTGATCGAGAATAGTTGTAGAATTCGGTGATGTATAAACTGAGGAAAAGTAATTGGCAAAAGCGTTACATATGTCTTCACTATTGTCGTAACGTTCATCATTAAAATTCATAACTGAGGGTAGCTTGTTATTGTTTATTTTGTTTTTTATATAGTTCCAAAAACCTCGAGGATTGGTAGATAGGTTTTTTTGTATATTAGATAAATATTGAAAACGGCATCGTTTAGAAAAGTATTTACACTTTGAGCGTAATTTAGAGAATTTCATATAAGAAGTTTGACTGGAATAATTTTTATATTCTGCATGTGCTTTGCGTTTTTCTTTTATTAACGTACGTACATTACTATCAAACCAAGTAGGATAGTTGTATTTGAAGCATTTTACTACTGGTACATATAAATTTAAAATTTCATTTATAATCGCGTAAAAGGTTGTAACCGCTGTATCTACATTCATAGAAGAGAATCGATTACACCAATTAATTTTATTTAAGGCGATTGATATATTATCGAAATTAGATTTACTAAAATTGCGATAAATTTGTATTGGATGCATTATTCAATTTATAAAATTCGTACATAATTTTTAGAGGTGGGTGAGGTTTATCTACTGTGACTAAGGGACACATTTCAATAGATAATAAATTTAAATTTGTGAAGACCAAGTCAAGTATATTGCCGTAAGAGTTACGTATACAATTATACTGCGATAGATTGTGAACGGAAAAACAATCAAAAATTATATCGACTGCTGCAGAGCGGTGACCATCTACAGTTAAACCGGTATTGTTACATGAAAACGTCGTGCCACGAAAGTTATAGTCTCCTGCGATTAAGATATCGGTATTATCTCCGAAACGTGAAAACAGCCAATTAATTGTGTTTGCGTGTGTTTCATAAACCGATAATGGACTTGTCTCTGGAATATAGCATGCGCCTAAAATAATTTTATGCGAATCGCTAAGTGTAATTAAAACAAAAACTTGTTCAACTGAATCATAGGGAATCAATATCAACTCACAGGTATATTTAATGTTCACAATTATAATAACACCTCCACCACGACTACAATTACTCGTCATATTATTCCTATCACATCTGAATATATTATAATTATGAAAGCTAAGCTCTGAATCTAATACTTCGTTATTAAGCCAGGTTTCGGTTAACACAAGAAAGTCATAATTTTCACGCTGTATATTACATATAAGATTATTCAATTTATTATTTAGACTTCTAACATTTTGATAATAGCCTGATAAATTAAACTTATGATTAATTTTATTTACATTACTTTTATTCTTCCTAGACTCGTTTGCGTTCAATAGTTTTTTTTGGCTGGAGTGGGAACACCATCAACAAACTTAATGAACCAGCCGTTCTCCCCACTATGTTTTTTTTCATCGATTTGGCGTTTAGGGTCCTTGTATTCNTCGATTTGGCGTTTAGCGTCCTTGTATTGAATACGCTGTTGATTTGTTTGATCGGTTCCGATGAAAATATGTTTTAGTGTATCAATCGTGCGTAGTTTCCGCTTCGCTTTTAGGATGGATAACACTTCAGCCTTACTTGCAAGATTAACTAGTATAGGACGTGGTTTTTCATTTTTCTTTCCTATACGAGTGGCATGTATTATCTGAGTAGACAAAGACAATGAATTAAAAATGTTTTTAACTGTAATTGGTGGATTCTCGTCAGTATCATTATCCTCATTAACACCAAAAATCAAAATATTCTTTGACTTTTCCATGCGCTCTTGAATTTCACGAATTAAGTTAACTTCAGAATTTATATTCGTTACTTTAGTAGATGGGTCAAGAGAATCAACATGTTTACGTAACGTATCAAGCTCGTTTTTAAGAATTATGTTTTCTGCCCTCAAGTTAGCAATATCGGTTGTAAGATTTTCAAGTTTGTTGATAAATGAATCAGTTTTGTTTTCTTGAAACGATATTTTTGTTGCAATTGAAGTAAGCTTGTTGTCTTGGATTTTGAGAGCTTTCATTATATCTGATAATGAAGGTTCAATTTTTGACGTTTGGTTTTGTACAGGAGATTTGATTATTTTTGACATATTGAACTTAAGTAATATTTAAATAAAATGTGTGAATTGAAAGCTTGGTAATTAAATATATTGTAATTTATATACTGTAAATGGATATCGTAAGTTACTAAATTAACAGATAAACGGAACGGATAATAGTAACGTGTTCACGGGTAAACAGTCAACAGTACACTGTTTTGCCAGTAGTTTTCAGGTTGGATTAGGCAAAAGGTACAATTTAATAGAAATTTGACATAAATTTGGATAGAAATGGCTAAAAAAAAAAATAATAATATTTCTTAATAAAATTTAACTTTTTCATTCAATTATGTGCGAGTTCCTTCCAAAAATGATAATTTTTTTAAATTTGTTCCTATAACTAATATTTTTTAGTATGAATTTATTGTGTTATTTTTACCTTTTTCCTAAGAACAAATTTCGACATTTGATATCATGAAATAAATATAAAAACCCAGCACATTTGGATCGCGGCACAGTGGAGACGTGGTATAGATTTGATCTAACAGTGATTAAAATCACTATCATAAGAAACGCTTCAATGCAAATCTGTAGATAGTGTTTAATTCTAAGAAATTGGTGGATAATTACAAAAGCAACATCAACTCCTATTTCCTTAATTACACTGGTCTACAACAAAATCCTCCTTCAGAAAACTTTATCATAAATATGTAGATTTTGATGCTCTAAATCTGTTCTCGAAGGCCGATTTTTTCTATCACGTCTCAATTTTTCGATATGAATTTTTTTCGGAAATATCATAAATTTAGGTTTTTTTTAATTCGTTTTAAGCGTTAACAT